TTCGTCCGCGTGGAATTTAACTTCTTATATTTTAGAAAAATAAAGTGAAATTCCACACGGACGAAATCCCGTGTACAGCTAGTCATCAATAAAAAAACACGTTGGTATCTCTAATATATTATACAGTAGCTGTTCCCGCGACTTCGTCCACGTGGTTTTTAACTTTATTTTTCTAAAATAAAAGTAGCCTAAGTTACTCCTTATTACATCAGCTACCTGCCAAAAAAAGTCCCGTCAAAATCGGTCCAGCCATTACAGAGATTAGCTGGAACAAACAGACAGACGGACAAAAATTGTAAAATATGTTATTTTGGTGTATGTACCGTATTTATATTCATATGCAAGTAGTAAAAAACGGTTATTTCAATATTACAAACAACAGGCTTCAACATTCTCAAGTACCACAAAAAAGATGTTTTTTCTATCAAATAAACCGTTTTTATTAAAAACAAGCTGTCCCCGCGACTTCGTCCGCGTGGAATTTAACTTTATTTTTCTAAAATAAAAGTAACCTAAGTTACTCCTTGTAAATCAGCTACCTGCCAAAAAAAGTACCGTCAAAATCGGTCCAGCCATTTCAGAGATTAGCCGGAACAAACAGACCGACAGACAGACAGACAAAAATTATAAAAATTGTTATTTTGGTATATGTACCTTATATATATTCATATGCATGTAGTAAAAAACGGTTATTTCAGTATTACAAACAGACACTCCAATTTTATTTATATGTATAGATGTATAGATTATTATTTATTTATTTATTTATTCATCCAAAATAATACAAATTGTGTAGGATAACGTAATAGTAATATTACAGTAAAATTTTGTCAACAACATAATAGCAACTTAAATATTAAATCTCGGTATATCTATAGACTAGCTGGCCCCAGCGACTTCGTCCGCGTGAAATTTTATTTTATTTTTCTAAAATAACAGTAGCGTAAGTTACTCCTTATTACATCAGCTACTTGCCAAAAAAAGTCCCGTCAAAATCGGTCCAGCTATTTCAGAGATTAGCCGGAACAAACAGACGGACAGACAAAACTTGTAAAATATGTTATTTTGGTGTATGTACCGTATTTATATTCATATGCAGGTAGTAAAAAACGGTTATTTCAATATTACAAACAGACACTCCAATTTTATTTACATGTATAGATGTATAGATTAAAAAAAAAGTAACAGTCATAAGGCTAGTCGTATGCCTAATATATATAATAATGTAATAAATTCATTTAAACAGAAATTGCGGGAACATTATTTAAATTTGTAACTTTTTTACTGTCCTCCTTTTTTCACATCTTTCTGTTATATCCCTATAGTTCTCTCTATATTTTCTGTTTTTCTTACTTTCAATTTGAGACTGTACTTATAATTTGATTATCGGATCATTATGTATTTATTTATACATTTATGGGTTATATATTTATGTATGTATATTGTTATTTTTTTATAGAAATGTATATTTTGCTTATCTTTATTATCTTTATGAATCTTTTTTTGACATTTCTTATTTATATTAGTGCACCGCCAATAATCTTTCGCTGCACCACTCATGGTTGCCTGGTAAATAACGCGGCAAGATATTAAGTCCGCCACATGTACAATTTTTTTTGTGCATTAAAGTTAAATAAATAAAAAAAATACAATACTGTTTAATGAAAATGCGTATTGTCTAGTGCTTTGAGATGTATCAAAATAAGGTCAACAAAAAAGTCCGTGATGGTATATGTCTATCTCTCAAGGATAACCAACAATAACCATTTTTTATCTTTTACATTTTACGGGAATTTTTTTTATCGTATGTTTCCCTTAAAATCATGTAAACTATGCTATTATGTCATAATCTAAAGAAATAATAATATTTTATAGTGAAATATCCACTATAAAATACCAAAAAGTAGCAATGTAATTCGTTACGCGCGAATCAGGTGTTATAAGGTCAAAGGTCGGTGCACCCCGCGTATTTGATAAATCTAAAGCTTCTCTGGATGTCTTTAAGAGAAAATGGCAGTATGTACGTGTATATGTCACACAAGTCCTTAAGTGATAAGTTTTTCAAATGTACAATATAGAATAAATATTTTTAAGTACAGTACTTACGTACATTAATATAATACCTACTTTTTACTTGTATCTATTGTTATCAAAATTAAATTATAAGTTCTTAACTTGACCACGACTATGTGACCCTCTCTTGGCGCCAAAACGAGTGAAAAAATGAACAGCATACGACGACGACGCAGTACCTATAGAGTGGAGCAACTGCTTATTCAGTTTTATTCAACTATTTAGTCCCTCCACCGTTACAATGAATGGAGGCGGATATTACAATGTACGTAGCATTGCGAATATAAAATATCTAGATTAGGTATAATAAATTCATAATTCATAGGCCGTTACGGTATCAGAGCCAAAAAGTCTTCTTTCTTTGTTTATGTACTGTTAGATGCGACAGCGACTTTGTTTTTATATTACTATGTAATGATTGATATACCTAAAATAAATAAAATATCTGAGGTTTGGACAAAAATTCAAAAGGTACTTTATTTTGAAAAAGTATTTTGAAAATACCTATTTTGCATTTAGTATTTGAAATACAAAAACAAAACTATTATTGTTTTTAGAGTGACATTTCTATGAATTCACTGTCGATAGCGAGCGGTGGGATGGAAAAAGATAACCGTTTATAAATATATAATAAATAGCCCTGGACAATTAACACAGACTGATACTGAACTGATATAGATATTTTTATTTTGTAAATACATATATAATATACATATAAAACACCCAGACCGATGAAAACAATCGATGACCGATGAGTACAATTGTTTGCACCGTGCGAGAAATCGAACCCGCGACCATCGGATGTAAAGCGGTGTGACCACCGAGGCAGTCGAAATATATAAATAATCCTATGAATTTAATTTATTCTAATTTGTTTGTGTGCGCGGGGTGCGGTGTACGGTGCTCCCCCTTGCCTCCACCGTTGCTGGAGCTTGCATGTATGGAGCATTGCGAATATAAAATATCTAGATTAGTAAATTCATAATTGATAGACCGTTACGGTATCTATATATATTCGGATTAAAATAAGTATCGCAGTAAGGACCAGTATAAAAAGTGATCAACATAATTAATTGATTTTTGAAATATATATACAGAGCCAAAAAGTCTTTGTGTATTCAAAAAATATCTAATTTGTTTGTGTGCGCGGGGTGCGGTGTACGGTGCAGGGGGGACCCTGCCTCCACCGTTGCTGGAGCTTGCATGTATGGAGCATTGCGAATATAAAATATCTACATTAGTAAATTAATAAATTCATAATTGATAGACCGTTACGGTATCTATATATATTCGGATGTAAATAAGTATCGCAGTAAGGACGAGTATATAAAGTGATCAACATAATTAATTGATTTTTGGAATATATTCAGAGCCAAAAAGTCTTTGTGTATACCAAAAATTTAGCCGTTCGGAGCCATTCAGTCACGAATTATTAGTAAAAAAAGTGTCGAGTATATCGTACTATCGACGAATATATATGGCCACATCGCAAAATAGAATGCGACGTTGCCATACCGCCTGAGATATACGCGATAGAGGTCAAGTTATTCAGTGCAAAAGGTGGAATCGGCAAGTGTTTAGGTTGTGGCGTGATCAACAAAGTGCCCAAAGAGGTGTTTATATATGTATATATATATATAACTTATTGTATACGAATATTGCTACAATGTTCGCTCAAAATGTGGCCAAATGACTGTGCTCAAAGTGCGAAATGTCTGTATTTTCTAATATAGCATCCCTGATACACTTGCGCATATTATTTTTCAGTTATTATATTTACTAATGTAGATACGTCAGCAAATAATAAAATCATATGTGCTCCGACTGCCTAGGAAGACTATGTGCAAAGTAGTCTGTGTACATCTGTTTCACCTATTTCAGCCATCACGCAGCTTATAGGCAGTGAAATTATTAGGCACTGAGGGACGACCCCTTAGTATACCTACTTCGTAATGACTACTATGATAGTTAGGCTTTTTGTAATTCCTTCGAGTAGGAAATTATCATACCAACATTTTTAATGTAAAAGTGTGTTTTTATGATTGTTATGTTTCAAAACTAAACGACGAAGATTATATCATGAGGACAGACATAGGTTATCTGTTATACCAAAAAGCAGATAAAGTTGCGGGTAACAGCTAATTATAAATATTTTATATACCTACATTATTTTTAATACCTACAAGCTAGATTTACTACCTATTAGAATAAAAATTCTATAATCATAGATCCATTATAAACTTTGCTGTAAATACATTATAAACAGGAAAATTGTTGAGAATTTTCCACAATATTGAATCACCGGGGTCCCATTTAAACTGTTGGGAATCCATAGGAAACAAAAGCGTCAGTAGGTGGTAAGCTTTGAATAGAAATGTAAATAAATAGGTCAAAAGCCGTGGACACGAAGGAAGGTTAATTGAATGGGGGTCTCTAGTTCTCTGGCCCTCACTTCGTCGCTGTAACATAGATTACAATTGCCGAGTTTCCACCGTCCATCCACAAGTCTTTCTAGCCAAAGTACGGCCCGCACAAAATTGCTTTCTTTCTACGTCGCAGAGAAATGGAAACTTAATGCACTGTAATAATGCGCCGCAATTACGCCTGACGTGACTTTGATGATACTGTAATCTATTCGCGTTTTACCAAAACTGTTGCGGTTTCTGAATAAAACGTAATTACTAGGTGGATTAGTCAGAACGATTGTATTTGGAATGTAATTACCTAATAAGTTTTCCATTAATATTTGTCTATATATTTAGGTACTTTATTAACCTATTACTGTCTAAATGACTGAAGTTTACAGAATATTAAATTGTAATTTGTATTAAAGCTTTATATTAAGCTAAAAAGAAATTAAACAAGCAAGTCATGTACGTTCAGTAGGTATACCACTTTAAATAAGTGATAACAAAAATAAGCCTCACCTCCGGCAACTCATCTGGCACCTTCCCCATCCACGACAGCGACAATATTGTGCAGTCGCATTTAGCGTTCACGTTCCTCTCAAAATGTAGATGCATTTTCGATGTTTCTATTAACACTTAAAAGTAAATTCGATACATCGTTAAGATGTAGTCACGCGCGCGGTTGCGACGTCCGTACAAGTTCTAGATTTAACGTAAACATTGTACAAAAACTAAAGATGATGCATTTAAGGACTGGACGCGATATTTCATTTATGTGGTTGTGTGATATGAGTCGTAGACCGGACGGGTGCGCGTCTCTGGGCACTCCGTTAACTTGACGGAGGGTGACAACCGAAGGGCCTTCAGCCGTCGCCAGTCGGCGCAGGTATTGATTACGCGCAGGGGGTGCCGCGCAGAACCTGCGACCTCTGTCGCTATGAGCAAAGTTACGGAAAAGCGGAAAATCCAATGGGGAAATACGCGGAGATGGCGCTGAGATGCTTACCTCCATTGTTTTTATATACCACTAAGAACAATAACTAAAGCAGGTAATTGCTATATAGTGCTTTAGTTATTGTTCGCAGCTGCTGACTAGCATTTCATATATTCAGGTTTTACCTATTATATTATATTAATTTTATTGTTTTTCTTTATTAGAAATGTATATATCTTATTACTTTAATGTAAACACCCAACATTAAAGTAAGTTAAAATATTGTCTCCCACGTAAAAACGTGGGACATTATTGACATAAGGGTTACAAGCCACATGAGATAAAAATCTCATGTGGCTTGTAACCCTTATGTCAATAAATGTCTTAGAGTTCTATTAAAATACAATCCCAAGTAAACAGTAGGCATTTTTTTTAATTCGATAAATATTGCTCTGGATAGTTAAAGTCGTATTTTACGTGATTTTGTTTTGACTATTTCCCGATACTGTCTGTATTATTTCATTCTAATTCCCCAAAATAATATCCAGAATATTATGATACTCGTGTGATATAACTTATATAAATAAAAAAAAAACTGATTTTAGAGTCGACGGCTCGGTGTTTTGGCAGTTTAGTACACCGTTTTACTACCGATGGTAGCAGTTTAAATTCATCGTCAGTCTGGGTATTTTCTATGTATATTTTGTATGTATTTACAGAAAAAATAAATCTATAAATTTCTTTCACTAGTTTAGTGCCCATATTACAAGCTCAGCTCATATCTTAGTTGGATTAGATGGCGCTGTGTCAATTGTCCTGAGATATTAATTATTTTTTATAGGGCACTGAAATTGCTTCACTCAACTTTATAGCAAGTTCTATGCGAAAATGCCGCTGTATTTAATTTATTCGATGTTTCAAAAGAACAGTACAAATCTGGATGAGATTGAAATAAACAGTGCAGAGAAGACTTGTCGCTCTATGGAAATACACAAATAAAAACTATAAAAATTCCAAGATCATAATAACTTTATTCATAATAGTAGACAAAACCAATAAAATATCACAAGAGTAGGAATTAAAATATCACAGGATAACAATTCATATACAAGTTCATACGTGTTATAACATTGTATGACGGTCTAAAATGCTATTACACCATACAAAAATATGTTTTAGTTTCCTTTTACTTCCTCCAGAGAACCCCATGTATATCCACATTTAACTTTAACTGGTAAAGGAACTTTTAAATGTACTGTCTGCTCCATAACCTCTCTTATCAAAGTGATAAACGACGCCTTTGCTGATTCGGGTACTTCATATATAAGTTCATCATGCATTTGTAGAATAAGGCGTGGCTTGGTTATACTTCCGTTAGTTCTATTGTCTATGGCGCACATGGCAGCTTTCGCGATATCAGCAGCTGAGCCTTGTATGGTGGTGTTTACAGCTTGACGTTCCGCTGCAGCTGTTTGAAATATAATTTAGAATAATTAATTATAAAGTGCTAATATTGGATTTAAGGATACGAATATAGGAATATAGATTGTTTCAAAATTCCTTTTTATTTTTTTGCAACTGAAATGTGCAAGTGACGGTCCTGATAGAAATCAATAGAATAGCAACCATCACCTATATACATGAACAGTTAAAATAAAACAAAATGACCAAAAAGAAAAATCCACTAATATGTCATTAGGTCTTAGGTTAGGTTAAGCCTCGTTTAGCGGTAAATATTGTAATGCCCATAATATAGATAAGTTTATTTGAAGTAAATTTTCTGTCTATAGGGCTCAAATCCAGTCCATAAAATAAATAATCCAGTTAAAGTTGTTCCCGCGGGAATTGATGCCGGGCTAAAGGGGCGCGCCCTGAGGCCCCAACATACATCCTCGTAGGGGTGTGCGAAAGACTTGTGTACGTCTGTCGTGTCCGTTGCCGTTCCGAATGACGAAGGTGTCATCACTCCTTAATTTGGACGTCACTAATTGTCTTTTCACTGTATGTAACCGACAGGATAAAAACTAACATATTTTAATTACATAATACTATAATTATGATATAACTAATGAGGAAAATGTTAAGAACAGTCCTCTTTAAAAAATAAAAATTAAATAGGTACATACAGTCAGTAATAGAACATTCGACTCCTTCCAATTCATGTACATCTATCAGATCCTTCATTTATTGAAACCAAAAGCAAACTTTATTACTAATAATAATTATTAAACTATATTATTAGATTAATAGAGATAATATTAAACTATACATATTTTAGACAATAATAAATTATTAGTCCTTTATATAAAATGGCCGGATCACTGTAAACATACCTTGCGGAAGGGAAGGAAGGGGACTCTTAGTATTGTTACTACTAGAACGACCTCAACGCAGCCCCCCTTGGAAACCATCGTGGTACCCAGTCAGCGAAAACTATTAGCGCAGTGGGTATACCACATCATTTATAGAAAAACATACCTTACATAATATTAAAGAATAACTTACATTTCTTATGAACAAAGTGGCTGTTGATATCAGGTAGGAATCTCTGGCGCTTCATCAAAGTCTTTACGTATCCATTCCTCCTACAGTCGTTGATAACGGACTGCGTGAACGCTCGCACGCTCGGGTACGTCTTGTAGAACGAGTCCATAAACATGGCTGCTTCTAACTCAGTCACGTCAAGGTGTTGCGCGAGCGTCCTGTTCCCCATACCATATAATATCCCATAGCAAAGTTGTTTCGCCTTCTGTCGGAGGTCATCATCTACCTAATAACATATAATCCGTGCTTATAAACAGACACATTACTTTTTTACAGCATAGAGGGACTCAACGACCTTTCAGCACAACCAATGGTAAGTATCCGCAGCAACGAAGGAATTGCAGGTGAATTAACGGACTTTCAGGGATATATGATATCTCAGCATTTTCTTGAAGGTCAAAATCGACCGGTAAGGAAATACACAATGTAGTTTTAAGTGGCAAAAAGTTTTTTGAAAAATGCACCATGGAGGATCACCATTCCATCCAAGCGATCAGGGTGGTATTATAGTTTCTAGCTGGTTGCATGATCATGGAATTCAGAAGCTGGTATCAATCTGAACACTCTCCATGACATGTACGGTAAAAAACGTACAAAGATGGAATAATTAATGGAATAACTTACTTTAAAATTCATTTACTTTACCTCTTTCTCGGGCAAATTACTCCAAGATGCAGCAATCGACTTGAAAACGTCCACATCTGAATTCATTATGTTCATGAGTACGGGGTCCCCACTGTAGTGAGTCAATATTCTCATTTCCAACTGACAGTAATCAGCCGACACCAGCAAATGTCCTGGCGCAGCCCTGAATATGTTCCTACAGTTGAACTCCATGACGTCATCGGTGTTCGTTTCGTTTGTTGCCAAATATTTGACGGGTATTGTGAAAGTGCGCGGTACATTCTGCAAGTTCGGTTCGTGCATGCTGACTCGACCAGTACACGTGAACATTGTGTATGAAGGGTTTATTCTGGGAAATAGTATTATTTTTAGGATCATTGTAAAAAGATATAATAGAAATTTATAAGTGCAGTATATAGAGCACTCTATATACGTCCGTATTGAACGAACTATATATATCTTCTATACAAATAAATAAAATTGCAGTGTCTGTTTGCTATTTCAAATTAACGGTAGTTATATAAAAAATATAAAAAAGAATTCTCTTTGTCTGTCAGTTTGTTCTTGCTCTGAAACGGCTGGAAAAAATATTGCGAATATATTTGAATAAAGATAAAAAATATTCAGGGCTTGTATCTGTACAGGATTGAAAATATATTGAATATCAGTGATGCCCTAGAGATACGTTTGGGAAATAACAATGATTACCTATCGCCCGCGCTGTATATGCATGCTCTCTGTGTGAGTGGGTACAATGTTTTCGTCAATATAGAGTTCAGTTTCCTCCAATATATTACAATGCTTGATATTGGAGTATTGTGCGATGTAAGCACGCATTTCTTTGTGCTCACCTTACGACCCTTATATATTCCTAGAACCTAAAATAAAAAGAGAAATAGATATTAGAAAGAATTGTTAAATTAATTAAACATACGTCAAAAATCACTTATAATTAGAGAAAACTAATCTAAACAGCGCCTGAATTGCATATTTTCTAAACAAAATTAAAAATACAAGCATGTTTTTTAAATTTTAATGGTATTTATAAAAACTTAAGATGCAATATTTACGAATTAAAGATTTTGCTATATTTAATTCGTAAATTTTGCATGTAACCGTTATAATGACTAAATACTAATACATAGTAAATTAAATATAACAACTAAACATAATATAACTTATCATACCTTTGCAACATCTTTGGATGAATTAAAATTGAAATGATATCCACTAATTTTATATGCTTTCTTTTGAAGTGTTTCTTGAGAGTTTTTTACATCAATCAGCAGCTGCGAAGCAAGATCCTTATCCACGGTCAGTCCGTGAAACTCACAACTTGACAATATCCTTAAAACTTGTGTTTCTAAGCCTATTTGAAAAATGTGTTATTTGTAATCCATACTTCTACACTAATATCATAAGAAGAAGTGTCTTTCTGTCTATTTGCTACTTTTTCACGACTGAACAGCTATCGGGTCTTAATGTTTGACGTGAAGATAGATTATATCACTAGACGTTGGAAAAACACAAAAACACAAAAAAGAAGAGGAAATCGCGATTAACAGTAAGTATACTATGTTTAAAGTTTTATATCAATGCATAAAGATAAATAAGCCTTTCTTTTTTAGTGCTGTTAATATCAATAAATTATTGTTTTACCTGTTTTATTTTTTGCTTAAATTTAAATGTAAATAATATTTATCATATATCATAGACATTTATCATAGACGACAAACTGCGCTGACATTAAATAATGATATAAAGGTAAGGCGATGATGATGATGATGATGATGATGATGATGATGATGATGATTATGATGATGATGATGATGATGATAATGATAATTACATAATTTATCACCACTACTCGATTCTCAATTTAAAAACCTGCTAAACCATGCAAATGACATCAAAGTAACATCAGATCGGTTCTTAAGGAATGCACTGGTGAAACTATCAGTTAGTCGTAATGTGGTCATCGAAAAAAATTGATTGATTGACATAAAATAAAATTTTGGAATTAAACAAAAATTCGCTTCCGCATAATAACTCTTAATTCGATTAAATATATCTAATTAGAAGTTAAAAAAGGTACTAACAAAGTGTTTCTTTTATTGTATCATACTGCTGCAGTAAGATTTTTTCCTGCTTTTCTGCAACTGTCCACACACACCATGCGCGAACACAAGCCTCTTCAAATGTGTCTAACTTATTAAATTTCTTCTCAATGCCATTAATTTTTATTGAAATATTCGACAAGTCTACATTACAATATTTCTTTGTCTGTAATATACAACATTTATTACTGAAACGGCCATAGAAAATGTAATACACACAGAAAAAAAAAAAGTGGTACCTAATACACACACAGTTACAACTGTTATACTAGATAGGGTACTCAGTATACATATATACATCCAATGTAGCAGGTGATAAGGCTACGGCTGTCTCTCGAATTATTTTTTTGTTTTATATTGGTGTTTCCTTCACAGTACGAGATAGTGATAAAAAATTCGTACAAAACGTCGCGCCGATAGGTCTTATCTGAATAAATATTTTTCAGTTCAAACAAAGTAGAATCTAAAATAATTATTTACAGGTACGTAAAGATTCTAATCGTGTCATATAGCATTAGGGGTTTTGTGACTGCCTTTAGAAATCCTCGTACTTGACGTAACTTTTATTACCAATTTATATTAGAAGTACAAAACAAACATTTAACAGCAGAACGACTGCTGACAACGCTGGCACAGATATTAGGAACAATACGACACATATAGTGACTTGAGATGACTGCGAACAGGGATAAAAGGAAGACAAAAACATATTACGTCGACCTCAAATAAGTAAATGGGTAAGGAAGAAGCAGATGATGACAGTAACTTACCAAGTATATAATGTCCGGAATCTTCTCATCGCTATTGGATAGCCATTCAAATAAACTAACATCAACTCGGGGTAAGATAAGGTCGACATGGAAATACTTTTTCACATGCATATAAATATGTCTTAAAGACATAACTTTCAACCTGAGTAATGGATTTTGAAACCAATGACTTAATTTTTGTTTAAGCATATTATCCAGAAACGTTAAATCCAATAACACACATTCATGACCAAAACAGATAGATATTACTTGTGCATCTTGTATTATAGTATTGACTGCTTTATCATTATCATTAGCCTTTCGGTCCTTCAAAACCCTAGATCCGATCACTTCATTCTTAGTTGTGTTTGCATAAATACGTACATAAACGGAAGCATCCTTCAAAGTCGTCAAGACATCTACATTATCTACAATATCCTTTCCTCTCAATACGACATAATCAAATTTAAAATTTTCAAGTACAACTGTACACTTCATTGATTGGCCACTCAATTTTAAAGCACATAAGTTTAAAATATTTTCTATCTTGAAGTTTGAATGGCATTTATCGCCGTCAGTTTTTAATTTCTTCGCTGGTTGTATATTATTGCTAATAAAGTCTGCTTGCCGTTTAATTGGAGTAATAGAAACGTTTCTAATCGAAGTCTCGCTAACTTCTACGGTACTTGGCACCTCTTCAGATTCATTGAATGCAACTTCTAATTCGTTTTCACTCATTTTATTTTCATCATCATAAATCAATTTTATATCTTCATCTGATTCTATTTCAATGATAGTCGATTTGAATGCATTTAGTAAAGTATTTGATTCTATATTGATATAATCTGAGGTTGTTTCTACTTTTTTTAATTTTGACATTTGTTCTGTTGACTCTTTATCAAACAATTTACTTGATATAGATTCAAGTTGTAAACTTTCTTCAAAAAGACTGGAGTTATCACCGTCTGATGAAAATAAACTAATATCATTTGCCGGTGACTTTTTTAAAGAGACAATTTCGGCAATTAAAGTTTTATCTTCTGAATCACCAAAACTTAAATTAGGAGATTGTATATTGATTTGTGAAAGTAGCTTAGTGCCATTTTCAGGTTCAGTAAAATAAAGAGAATCCCAGGTAAGGTCGTCTTTGGCTATCGTCGATAAACTGTAATTTGTTGTCACTTTAGAACGCTCAATGTCCTGTATAACTGTAATTGCATTGTCTGAAATATTACCATTGTTACTTATTAGGAAAATTTCATTATTATTAATTAACTTAGAAATTACATTTACATTGTTTTTTTCTTCTAATTCAATTGATTTAGATGTTGTAGTACTATGCTTATCTTCATCGTTTATATTTATCGATGAGACCTGCAGATTATTACTACCATTTAGTTTTTGTGATAAATATTCATTCGTAGCAGATATCAAAGGTTTAATTTTGTTGCTGAGATTTGGTTCAATACAATTGTGCCTCTCGTCTGTATCTGTTGTTTGGGAAACATTTATTTTTTTCATACTACTATCTTCCCATTTGATTTCAGCGACGCCTATTTCAAGTTTTAAATATTTTCTAGCTTCCAAAATAAGATTTTCAGCAGCTTCTTTAGCTGTCATTCCACAACAACCAGTAATCCAAATATTTCGTATTTTATTACGTTTCCTTATATCATCATGGTAGTCTCCCTCTCTTTCCTTAGAACTCTGAAATGGTACTGACTTGTGAAGAGCATTTTCTATTGCATTAATACCAGCAGACGCAATACTGGCAATTGTCTCATAACCAGAATCAAATAAAGTCCGAGCTCTAACGCCATTCAAAGTAGACAACTTCATTAATTCCACTAATTCTGAATGTATTCCAAAATGTAAGCGATCTTGAAACTGAGTTATCAGCATTTCCATGTTCTTCCAACCCAACTGACGACAAAATGCCGTAACCATACCTATAATACAAAAAAAGTTGTGTTTTTCTATGTATGTCTTGTACTCTAATATGCCTTTGCCTACGCCTAACTTTCACTTTTGCACTTTCATGCGTTTATGATTTATAATAATGTGACATACATTATGGTGATTGTTTATGTCATTAAGGCTTAACATTGGGTAGGCTTTTTATTACGGGCAATCATTATATGAAAGTCGGAATATGGACAGACCAAGGCGTTTTTACTTTTTTATTCATGCTAGTTCATAATATTATACATCATGAACTGTTACAAAAGATTCAAAAGGTTTTAATTACCTGCAAATGTCGCTGCTGCTTGTTGTAGACTTTGTAAAAATCCTCGTGCACATTGAAATTTAGCAGCTACTTCTGACAGAGGTATTTCACTTACTAAATCTTGTAAAGCCAGAGCTGTATAAAATCTAGTAACATAAATATATATTTTGTATTAAGATCTTTAAATTATAAGACAAAATATATTATAAGAAATATACTTTATTATTACCTTTTGTGAATGTTCATTTTATTCTGTATATTATTTAGTTTATTATTACCTCTGAGGCATCGAATAATAAAGCTTTCTTGTACTCCAACCAATTCCCCTACTCTTTTCATAGATCTTGTCAAAGATTCCCATAATGTCAGTAAATGCAGCCAGTCTATATTACCCCATTGACTGCTCACACTGTATGGTGTTACTAAATATATAAGATGAAGGTCTGTTTCCAACACCAAGCATTGACGAGCTTTTTGTAATTCACAAAATAATGACAACCCATCATTAGGTGCCATTGATGATGAAAGACATGCCTTCCCCAGCGGAGTAGCAGCATAATGATTATCTTCACCATCAGCTTGGACCCTTACCAATTCATAATTTACCAATTGATCTAATGTACTATTTAATAAAATATTTTGAGATAAAGATTTGTTTTGCTGTACAAAAAGTAAAGTGCACTTAGAATACAAATCTAATTCATCCTTTGTACTAACTACTTGACTAGCTATCATTTCAAGAACCGCTCTCATATACTTGTCTTCAGTATCAATACAACTCAGAACGGGATCTAAGGCCCCCATCATCAATTCAAATCCTATGTTCTTTTCAGCTTCAGTGCATATCAATATGCTTTCACCTTTTGTATCTCTGCCCATTCTCCCTGCTCTTCCAATCATCTGCTTATATGTTAATATATTTATTGGTTGTCTCTGAAAAACTGGTGATCTAACAATAACTTTTCTAGCAGGTAAATTGACGCCAGAACTTAATGTAGATGTAGCCACTAAAACTCTTATTGCCCCAGACTTAAATCCACCTTCTATTATATCTCTCTCATCGAAAGTAAGACCAGCATGATGATATGCAACACCGAAAGATATAGTAGTCTTCAGAATTTTATCTATACCCACTGAACAGTTTTTCAACTGTTCTAACACTTCCAAAATACTGTCTGTGTTTAATTGTTTCCGTAAAATTAATCCCATATCAACACCACTACAACCGAGTTTGTAAAATGATGATGCTATGCTTTGTGCTAAATTTTCACATCTATTTTTTGTCATACAGAAAATGAGAACTGAACATCCATCTTTTATTGTGTTCAGACAGATTTCTAAAACATTATCACTTTCTCCAGTTGCAGTATCTTTATCCATAATGTTGACTACCTTACCAGTTTTGTCAAACAGTTTAGTTCCAATCAAACAATATTCATCTAATGGTATTGGTCGGAATTCTGTGATAAATAACTCAGCATCCAACCAATTAGCTAATATTTTTAAATTAGGTAATGTAGCAGACATACCAATAATCTGTATAGAAACATCCAACTTTAAACATACAAATTTAATTTTGGTTAAAAGTAGCTCTAAAATATATCCTCTATGAGGGTCTCCTAATAAATGCAGCTCATCAACTACAACAGCACCTAATTCTGATATATTTCCATCATCCAAGAGCTTGTTTATTATACTATTTGCTTTTTCTATTGTGCAGATTGCAACATGGACTGCCTGTAAACCACCTGGGGGTGATTGCGAACCCATAAAGCCTTCCACTCGTATGCCAGAGCTAGACAATATATCTTGCAAGTAAAACATTTTCTCTCTTACTATAGACACAAAAGGTAATATAATAATTACTTTTTTCTGTCGCTCCAGAACAGTTTTAATAGTTAAAATCTCAGCAACAAGAGTTTTGCCAGCAGATGTTGGGGCTGAATACACTAAATTATTACAATGTAACAAAACTTTTGGATTTCCTAAACATTCTACTTGCCAATCAAACATTTCAATAATTTGTCTCTCCTCATACTTCTGTGCAATTGCAAGAGGTAAACCCCAGTCTTTTAAGTTCTTGCTTATTTTTGTACCTGTTTTACACTGTGACAGACTATCTCTGCTACGAGTACTGGCGTCCAGCACGGACCCTGTAGCCTGAGAGACATCATTAGTCTTTATTTTCTTTGATAAAGAAGTTTTTCTAGTTTCTTTAGGCGTGTAGAAATTTTCTTCAGTTACATATTCCTTTACAGTGTTTAGTGTAAATTGTAATGAGAACGATGTTTCGAAGTCGTTCTCCAAGAATCCAACATTTTCAGCTATGAATTGTGAGTCGATTACCTCTTTAACACTGCTAACTTTCTCCATATTATTATACCCTTTTCAACTTTATAAAATCTTTAAAGACATGATTATTGTAAAACTCAAGAACATCAAGAGAACTGATTTCTTATTCCTATTCTATAATGTCCTATTGAAAACATAATAATAATATTTACAAATCAATTCGAAAGTTTGTTTATTCAAAATTTAAAATTCAATGTACAGGCACAATATTACAATAACAGCTGTACAATAATATGTCAGTGTCACTTTCATGAGTTGACATTGAAGTTAGCTGTATGCACAGTTCCCTTTGCCTTTCCGTCACAGGATAAACAGAACAAAAAAAGATGACATTGAAGTTACAATTATCATCGATAAAAATTGCTTTTTAAAAAACGTTTTATTATACACTGGCTACTCGCCCCGGCTTCACCCGGGTGTACATGTATTATATATATAAACCTTCCACTTGAATCACTCGTATCTATTTGAAAAAACTGTTTCATAGTTTTAAAGATTTAAGCAAACGGACGGACAGACAGCGACAGCGACTTTGTTTTATACTATATAATGATAATTTTCTCTAAAAGTCTACATTTCAAGCGGATGAATATTTTTCATTTGAATTCTCAACTTTTAATAACTCATCATCTGGATTTCTTTATCCATTTCAATAACTATAACTATTCATATGTGTACTAATTACTACACTCTGACATTATTATGGCATATTGGTATTGTTAGAGTGTAACAGGGGGAGTGCAACTTCAAATGTCCATTCTCTTGCCCATGATAATATACTATACTTGCTCTTGCACATGCCATTCGCTTTGCTCCTCTACTCAACTCTTAATTAATATTGAAAAGGAATCTCGGTGATATGAAAACATATTATTTGATATAAATTAAAATAACATCATTTCAACATTTTCTATTATATATTTAAAATGTATAATAATCACAGCATTAGTTATACCTATTATTATATAAATTAATCAATCAAAATCAGATTCAAAGATGTCACCAATTGTGGTAATTAATTACTTTTAAATTAAAAAAAAATGCAGTAGTAATAGCTCCAACGGGTCATAATATTCCAGTGGCAGTGGCTTCTTTACTTTCTGTGAGTGCTCTAGACTCGTGTATAAATGCGGCATACGTCACACCCTTGAGAAAAAAACATTTTAATTAGATCAACTCATTCATATTAATAATATTACAAAATAGAAGGTTCTATTATTTTGATAGATATGATACGATAAACAAATTATAATAATACTAGCTGTACCCGCGGAATCACCCGCGTGAAAATTATAACTAAAAACTTTGTAATCACAAACTACACATTGTTTAATTAAAGATTACCTGCTGCCGGGCCGCTCTAACAAAACCTTCATTTGCCGACACTGTAAGAGCCTTCATTCTATGTCCAAAATTAAATACAATCTTTGATCTTAAACGAACATGACCCCTTACTTTAAGATTCCTTCTTGGGTAATCATCATCACCTGTGGATAAAATATACCAATAAATATTTTGTTATTGCAGTAAAAAATAGTGTATAAAAACAACTGCCTTAGACACCTCAGAGGAATATTAAATGATAAGTTACTCTGCCAAATTCAATTTTATATAGTAAAAAGCCCATTATACAACAATATGCTTTTTTATATTATTTATTTTGCTTTTATGTATAAATATAAAGTGGTGCACCCACCTTCTTACTACACTAATGGTACTCAAACAAGGAACTGGGACAAATAAGGCTGAAGTCAGATCAGTTAAACCATTGTAGCAAATTCCTCAGGAATTAACTATGATTGTTTTCCAGGAGAGGGCTAGAATGACATGACATACTAAATTACTAGAGGTTCTAGTCCCCATTACTCTCCCTCCCTCCGCATATACTGTCCAAGAAATGTAGTGTATATAATGTCTTTTGGAGTGGATATAATTCAAATAAATAATATCTTTGTGACATTAACATACAAAGGAAGCATTTCTTATCAATTTCAACTATACTTACCACCAAAATCATCTGGAATCACTTTAATAATTTCCTTTAATTCTTCTGTCCTTTTCTTTTCCATTGGTCCACCCAAAGTGTCAACAATCTTTTGAAAATCATCCCAAGCTGTAGTACAACAAATTAATATCTTTCCTGGATATAAAATAAAATTATATTAATATCATAAGTTTAAAATGAAAGTATGGTTATTATTTAAGTATCCATTTCTCCTAGTTCCACAGTTAACAGTGTATTTTATTGATTGTGCAAAAATATTACTTCAGAGTCTTAGGCATGCAATGAATCTGGTATCAGATAAATTGAGTAATAATATTTTCTTTCTTTGATATGTCCTTTTGTTATAAACTGGAAAACTGTAGTTACAGAAACATACATTGGCAAACCACCTGATGGTAAGTAGTAACCATCACCTATATAAATATATTATCAGCTCCGTGGACATAACATTGTCCATAGTACCACTTGTGCTGTCATTCTAATTGACTAAAATGCTGCCAAATTGCAATTTCACTGCCTTATATCATCCCTTCAACTAAAATAAAGATCACAAAGCCACTTGTCGGTTGTAATAGGCAAGATTGAGGTACCCACACAGATTACATTTTACAAGGTATTTATACAAACCAAAATTACCTTCAAAGAATTTATCCAAAACAGGTTTCACAGGCCTGTCTGCTTCCCATGCAGACTGCTGCGTTAGTACATCTTGTTTAAAAACATATTTGCAATGACCATTGGTCATGTTGCTGACATATGCCATCATAGCAGTGACATCAAGGTTCAGTGTTGTAATCTCTGAGTGTTCTTCTATGCATTGTTCTATGTCATGCAGTACTATTTCCTGACTGATTAGAATAAAATAAATTTTATTCAAAATTAGGTGTACATCAAACAGGATTAAGTCTATTATTTTTACCCAAGTTATTCTCTATATTCATCTTTCTATACATATTTTATTGTGTTAATTATATTTATGTTCTCTATGTTCAAGTGATCTCCCAGTCATACACGTCCATCACCTAATCACTAGAACAATAACTCATTGACTGTTTTGAGAACTCACAATATATTTATTTAGTGCACAAAAAAGAATAGCTTTCAGTGCATTAGAACAATGTAACTCATGCCCATATCATTCAGGTTTAACAAGTATTTTAAAGTGACAGTCTAACAGTTATATTAGAGAATATTCACCTCATGCTAAGAAGTTTTAGATAAATAACATACAAGTAAAAAAGGACACTATCACTAATACAATAATTACCTTTTACATACAGTTTCTTCATCAGTATCTTCAGACTCCCATGAATCATCACAGTCCTCAATGGGATTTGAATCAGGCAAGATATTTCCTTTGACTATAACCCCTACAGCCTTCAGCTTATTAGCTAGATTTTGTTCTATACCACTCATAAATTCAAATATTACCTGTAATTTTTTTAAATTACTCAATTACAAATATATAACAACTAAATATAAGTTTTTTTTAGTTATTACTTGATATTTTAATGAATCAATCAACTAGAATTATTTTTTTTAAACTTGATACACATTTAATGTCTTAAATGAATAAGTCATGCAGAAGAAAAAGTAAGCATGTAAGAACTAGGTAGTTCATATTATATTACTTTTATTTAAAGCTAAGACATACCTTTGGTGACTGATACATACATGGATATAGTTTAGCACACTCTAAATAATCATCAGCCTGATCAAGAATAGATCTTGCTCCATATGATGCATTACCAGTACTCAATGCCGTGAGGGATTTTGGATTTCGTGCTATTACTGCAATCAAATATGTCAAATATGTTCAGTAGCAAATTAGAATGTTTGTATGCTTATAATTCAATATTTTATTACTTTTATTATTTCCATAGCATAATGTCTTATGGCATACTGCTGTGGGGTAAAGCAGCCGATATAAATACTATTTGTTTTACAAAAGAGAGCCATACGTTCTATTTATGGTATGGGTTCGAGAGAGTCATTACGTCAGTGCTTTAAAGACTCAAATATCCTCACAGTTACTTCACAATACATTTATGAAAATATTATGTATACCAGGAAGAACTTAGAGAGTTTTAAAAAGACTGTACAAGTAGAAACTTACGCAATATAAATAAGCTTATTTTACCTAAATGCCGTCTGCACAAAATCAGTAATTCATTCTATGGTAATTGCATAAGATTTTATAATAAACTGCCAGAATCTGCATTAAATCTGACAGAGAGGCAATTCAAATCTTATATTAAACAATTTTTATGTAAGAAAGCCTATTACAGGATAGACGAATTCATAGATGACAACATATCAAGTAAATAATTAGTTTATTAGCATACAACGTTATAATTTTATTTTTTCATTGCTTTCTTGATTTAATTGATTGATTTATAGAAATATGAAAGCGTAGCGGTTTTTGTATTAATTGCCGCATGCATTCTTATGTAAAATGTGAATACTATAACTATCAGATGGCAATTGTGAGCAGCTTTGATGTGGTCTAGTGTTTTGAGTAGTCATGCTCACTAAAATGTCCAGACTTGTGGCGGCGTGGTGGGCCGGGTCATTGGGCTCCCTAAAATATGGTCGAGCGCAGTGATGGCTGGCTCATCCGTCATACTCGTGAACGGGTGCTGCTTGTAGGGACTGGTCTGCTCTAATCACTATGACTGATTTCCAAACAGGCATTGCACATGTAATAGTTCTCCTTCTCTTTGTGTATATTATATATGCATTCTCTTTTCCATGTGAAAGCAGATTCACATATGTAAGTACATATATAAAAGCAGCTATATGGTAGAACATATTGTACACATTGTCTAGACATATATTCAATTAATACTATTTGAGTCAGACAACATTGGTTCTAATTCATACAAGAGATCAAATATATTAACTTGGTCCTTTCTTAACTTAGTTACCTTTAGTCCATATCTTGCCATCTTCACTAATGATATCAATAACTAATTTATTATTATCATCTATGTGAAATATTTTGCACACAGCTACAACTCCTGGTCTCATGGTACACTCCACCATGGCACCCAGATGCCGCAAATTGGAACATGATAGTTGTTCAATTTTAACTTTCTTTGATTTCTGTAACTAAAAAAAAGGTATAAATATTTTTAAGGAACATACAAATAAAAATAAATTACTTTATAGACAAATTTTACACTAATTGGTCAAATGAATTCTTGAATAAGTCGTGAATAAAAGAATGATGATGAAATCAAGTCAGTTGGCCCACTAAGGAAAATACACTAGAAATTTACCACTATGTAAATAGAACAAAGAACTCTACTTGTTTCTACAAAACAAAACAAGTTCTCAAGTAGTGACAAACTTTACTTCACAATATTTTAATCCACAAAAGCTATAACTATTATAGTTTTTTATTGTCATTTAGTGTCACCTTTTTTAAGAACTCTACTTCTTGCCGGATTTTTCTTTGTAATTTCATAACTCCATCTAAGTGTTGCACCAAATTCAGTTTTGAGATTAAACTCTCGCCAAATTTTATTTTTTCATCTAGCATGCCTAAAAGATCTCCGCAAGACATTTCTATTGCATTTATAAATCACAGTACAAAATATAGACGTGGTTTTAGATTTTGTTTTATATGTATTTAAAATTTCGGGACAAATATGTTGACAACAAGCAGGAAAAAAGACTATTTTCTTGTTTTATACAGACTATAAAAGTAACACAGACTCATTACAATTAATTTGTAATGTCAAAATATTCTGGGATAAGGTTAAAATTATTACTTGCCAATCTTAAAATTGTCACTACGTGCTTAGAACGCAAAAACTAAAAGAACTCGCATTTGGCTCAATTAATTTTTTCTACCTCTTTCTACATATCAATTAAGTAAGAGAGTAATGTGTATTAACGCTATGTACACGATATAAGCTATAATTCAATCAATTTTGGATAGAAAGAAAGAAAATTCATATATTTCCTTATGTCAAAATATCATACATAATTATAATACCAAAAATTCGATATACGATTGGCATGTATTAAGAGCATCTAGCGTACGAAAAAGGCACTAAGTAAATAATCACTACGAAGCCCACAAAAGAATATTTAGTCGGAAAGCGAAGTTCACACCCCATGCACTTATCTGGTTTAGTAATTAGTTCAGTAAAACGGATATTCCGGATTTGCCCGCCATTTTTAGTGATTTGTCGTCGTGGTCACGTGACTGACATTTGATTAACCAATCACTATACAGTAACTGGCCAAACCACGATTTTGAGAAATGGCCGACGATAAAGAACTCGAAAAAACCATTGCAGAAGACTTGGTTGTGACCAAGTACAAGCTTGCAGGACAAATTGTCAATCGTAAGTTTATCTCCAAACGTTGTTACATGTTTAAACATGTGGAACTTCTCTCAGCATAAGTATATTAAATGCTATCTTTGGTATGGACGCGTGTCATCGCCATGCGGTGTCCTAAGGTTTACAAAGAGTCCCTAGCTGTCTGGTTTGATTATTATTATATATATCAGCAACTATATAATGTAATTTCTTTTGCAGGTGTCCTGGAACAAGTGATCGCAAAATGTGTTCCCGATGCTTCAGCACGAGAGATTTGCGAGTTCGGTGATAAGCTTATCCTGGAAGAAACGTCTAAAGTTTTTAAAAAAGAGAAGGACTCCAAGAAGGGTATTGCGTTCTCGACATGTGTATCAGTTAACAACTGTATATGTCATTTCTCACCCATTCCTAGTGAATCTGACTACATTCTAAAACAAGGTGATCTTGCCAAGATGTGAGTAAAATCAGTACTGTAAGCCCTAATTCTAATACAGTTACCAATTTCTACTAGCTATGCACGCCGTAACAACTTCAGACAATAATTTTGTCATTTGCTCAAATTGTGATAATGAGTCTTATGAAAATTCACAATAAGATGTTAAATTTAGAACACCTTGACATGAGCCAATTTATAAAAATATATTATTTATATATTATTCAAATATATTTCTTAATACAACAGTGTATTTGAAAAATTATTAAATCTTGTTTGTACTTAATACTTATTCTTATTGAATTTTATTCTTTATTCCACTAGAAACATTCAATTGGCTATTTATAGAATACCATATGTTTATTTTATGATATATTTAATACATATACATTAGTGAAATTGTCAATCTTAGAAATTAGTTATTATTGTATGGTATAATATTCTAATGTATAAAATTAGCATGTGTTTAATAATGTATGTCAATTCTTTTTACAGCGACCTAGGTGCACACATAGATGGGTTCATTGCTGTTGTGGCGCACACAGTTGCGGTGGGTGGTGCAGAGGTGACAGGTCGAGCAGCTGATGTACTTTTGGCTGCACATCTGGCAAGTGAAGCAGCCTTAAGACTGCTTCGGCCTGGCAATGAGGTATCTTTTGTTAGAAATGTTAATTAGTGTTATTTGTTATGTTAGAATAAACTTTTATTAAGTATTATATAGTCAAATTATATAATACAACAAAGTGTATCTAGTCATCTCTCCTCTACCCAATGGTAGGAATAATACCAAATAGGAAGAGATTGGTTATGTGATAAGACCATCTTTTGTATCTTACAACTCTAATTTATGTTCCTTCTTATTTATTTGTAGGTCATTAAAGAGGTAATAAATAAGTAATAAAGCTACTAATAATTTATAGTACATTATTTTTATTCTGTACTATATCTAGAGTACAGAATCACTAATGTGCTAATTGATGTGTTAATTTTCTCTTTTATTTTAGAACTATGCTATCACTGATGTTGTTCAAAAAATTAGTGCTGAATATGGTTGTAAACCAGTAGAGGGAATGCTATCACACCAACTAAAGCAATTCCGAATTGATGGTGAAAAGAGTATAATACAGAATCCATCGGAGGCCCAGCGCAAGGAACACGAGAAAGCCACTTTAGAAACCTATGAAGTGTATGCTATGGATGTTCTTATTTCCACTGGAGAGGGTGTGGTAAGTTATAACTTACATAAGAAAAGGCCATATCAATTAACAGAATTACTGATGTCTAGAATTCTCTAATGTTCATTTTTTTTTAATACACAATTTCTTTAATATATGTATTTATAAAAGTTTGTAGAATATGACCATATAACACCAAAGAATTTCTAAAATTGTTATGGGAATAGTAGATTGATACAGAAAAGTAATTAAAGACATTAAATAATTCATAAATTAAGAGAAACTACATTTTTAATGTGTTGTAGCTTCATTGTTTTGACTTGAAAAGATTACCATAGTTTGTTCCTATACATTACAAGTGACTCAATGCCTGGCATCAACAATATACATAACATATGGCTTTAATTATTGTAAACAGTATGCAGAAATGGGGCCTTCGAATAGCTAAGTAACTCATAAATTTTACTCTCTCTATTAATACTACTGTAGATAAGTTTGTAACTATAAGTTAGCAATAAATATACAGATAAAAATAATACAGTATAATTTGATAAAGTATTTAAAATATATAGTGATATTTGATAGCATGAAGGTTCTTCATTGCAGTATAAATTATTATTGTAATATAATATTGTAGACTCGGCCTTACATTGACAGTGAGTGTCTGTTAGTGGTGGGTCATGGACAATTTTACAGTGGATGCAACAAGACTGTTTACCATCTATGGTGAACTAGTCTAACATGCTGTATAATTTTCGACTAGTTTATGTTGTCGTCGAAATGACTATTTCTACACATAAAAGACTAGTAAAGTAAATGAAAGAAAACATTGTTTACCAGAGTGATCATCTCAATCAGCTCTTATAGATAATCTATAAGAGCTGATCGAGATGTATATTTTTACGCACTTCTAAATGCCCTGAATTCTTTCCAGATTGCTTTCTTTATAACTTCTCTGGCAGTACTCAGGGAATAGTATTCCAGTAAAACTCTGAACTAATATGTTCATTTAACGTATTGGTTTATTGAAAGTTACTGACAAAACTGTTCTTTTATTTAATGGATGTACTCAAAGAAAATAAATTTAAATAAGTTTATCAGAATTCATTATTTTAGGGGCGAGAAATGGACACTAGGTGTACAATATATAAAAAAACTGATGAAATATATCAATTGAAACTCAAGGCATCCAGAATGTTCTACAGTGAGGTTTGTTCAAAATTATGTGTTTATTAAAGTTTGTTTTTTTGCTTATAAATTATTATTTACCCAGTTTTCTTTTATAGTACATAATTATTGCTATATAAAGCAGTACTGTTTTGAAATCTGGGAATAGCATTGTGATGTGTTTGAACCACCATACACATATTGTATGTGTTGGTATAGATCATTACTACACTTAATACATCTTTTAATTGACATATTGGTAGAAACTTCTATGGGGCAAATATTTGAATTTCGCACTAACAATCTTAAAATTTTATTGTGTTTTTAAGATTACAAAAACAATGTTTCTGCAGAAAATGAATTTTAATAATTAATTATTTTAGTTATAGGAAACTAGCAATTTATTATATATTAAGTCTGGTAGGACTGCAGGTGTCACTGTTAGTACAAGTAATGCAATTCAATTGTTTAATAACTGATATAATAAACTGCTTGAACACAGTTCATGATTATGTCATAACTGTAGTGAAAGTCTATTTTCTGGTTGAGCATATTTATTCCCTATGACCTTTTTTTATTACAGTTTCATGAAACTTGTTGTGTTCTAATATATAACCTGTATTTAATAGTTCTTGCTAGAAAGAGTAACATCCAACCATACTTTTTTTTTTTTAACTTTCTCCTTCATTATGTTAGTAAGATTTTCTTTGTTCTAGAAATTTTATTCCGATAATTTTTCTGTGTTATTAAAAATTGTTAATCATTTCAGGTTCGTAACAAGCATGGTTCAATGCCATTCAACTTACGCAGTTTCGATAAGGAGACCAGCGCTAGGCTGGGCGTCGTTGAGTGTGTCAACCACAAACTCATTGAACCTTTCCAGGTATTGTAGATTATTTACAATAGTTCTTTATATTTTAGATTGTTTTGTTCCCTCAATTTATACTGCTTTCTATGTGTATATAATTTATCTGTCTGTCCTTTTGTAATTTATATTTAGATTTCTTCAGCAGTTTAGTAATGAAAGCTAACAATCTATGCTTTTACATTTATAATTTATAGTATGTTTCTAAATAAATACATTTTTGATGGTCAGTACAAGTGGTCATCAAAAAGTAATTTTAACTTTTATAGTGAAAATTGTTATACAAAATAAGTCTACCTCTGCACATAACACATGGCATTTGGCAAAGTCCCTACTAATTGACATGTAACATCTTTTGGTCAGGTAGATTCATTATCAATACTATACTAGTACGTCATGTTCATTGGCGACAGGATTTATTTCCGCGTACGATGTTGTTGCCATCATGTAATCTATATATAAAGCCAATCTTTTTACAATGTAAAGAGGGATCTATTTGAATCAACTGACAAATCCCCAACAAAAGTTGTGCTTTTGCAATATATTAATATAATAAGGTTATCTTATCATTGTGTTTGTATCGTATCATTTGGGGTCAGGTTTATCCTGTCGCACTTTGACACGTTGGAATTCATTTTGTGCTCTTTTCTTTATTTGGGAATTAATTAAATTATATATAATATAGACTATATAGACAGAAGACTAAAGTGGTTAACTTTAGTCTTCTGTCTACTTCTGGTTTCATAAATGGTACCCCATAGTCTCACAATTTAAATGTTGAACCCGGTTAGTGTCTCACTGGTCACACCACCCTTATAAAGTGACATATTAAAATTACACACTATGCTTGTAGAGTGACATTAAAAGTAGTATAGTATGTATCTTACTGGAAGCTGTCTCTTACAATGAACAATGAGGATCATATTATTGATAGTCAGTTACAAGGTGTCATACAACAAAATATTGAAATGATACTCCATAATGAAATAAAAAATATATGACTTAGAATTATGTAATAATGTTCATAGTCTTAATATATACCTTAATTCCTTAAGGTCATAAAAGTTACTTATGATAAAATATGATATTTCTAACATAATTATATTTTTTATATTTTATCCAGGTCCTGTATGAACGTACTGGGGAGCTTGTGGCACAGTTCAAATTTACAGTGCTGCTCTTACCTAGTGGCACCCATCGTATCACCGGCTTGCCTTTTGACAAGAGCCAATGTAAAACTGAACGTAGCATAAAGGACCCTGAACTAAATGTAAGATTCTATTTTCTCTGTTCACATGGCATGTAGTTACATCCCTGTTTAATTTCATAATACTCTATGTATGGAGTGTTTTGGACAAGCGCAGGGTATATTATAAGTCTTTTTTTGAGCCAATTTGTTTTATTTACACTTTGGTTTGAATAATCACGACATTATTTTATATTAATCTGAATTTTGTGTGTATTGATAACATTTTCGGAATTCAGCCATTTAAAATAATTATAAGGCATTAGAATGTTGGTTAATCCGTTTATCAGTCACAGTGGCATGGTACAGAAATTACTTGTTGTCTAATTGAAGTATAGATGCTATTTAAAACCAATATGAATGGTGTATGTGTAATTTTCCAGTCTCTTCTCAACTCATCCGCAAAGTCAAATAAGAAGAAGAAAAAGAAAACTGGTGCTGAGGAACCAATGGAAGTTGAAACTGTTGCCTAGCAACTAGCTTATCAACCGAACCTGGAACGAAATAATTAAAAATTACAGCTTTCCTCAGCCACAGACTTAACATTCAAATTCAGCAATATTATATACTAATTTCAAGCAAGCCATTAAAAACATTTTGTGAGCATAGTAAATTAAACTTGTACATGAGATGAAATCTTTTAGTAATATTGTGAACATCCTTACGAAGTTATAAATAATGTCAAGTTACTGCCTTCTTATGCTAGTTTATTATTGAAAATTGTTGAAAGATTCCATGTCATAAACAATTTCTTTTTGTATCCCATTGACATTATATAGTGATTTGTAATAGCATAGAAAAGTTGTTATATATTTAAGTGTTTACATCTCAAAATCATAACAGCATTCCCTGTTGTAGATTCAAATAATGTGTAAATTCCTTGATGATATAAGTCATAGACACAGTATTTTCTAAGCATTTCCCTAGTGACGTTGAAATTTCTAAAGATTGTGATGTGCACAAAATTGGTTGCGTGTAATATACGATCTCGATGTGTTGACTACTTCTGTAACTGCACACTTGTGTTTTTGAGAAACCTGAAAAGGCCAATTTTGTAGATATAATTGACTTTACACTGATTAATTTTTTTAATATTCTGCATTTTATGGAAATAAATTTTAGTAAATGGGGCTAAACTTTCAGGTTCTTCAATAACAACTATAAATGTTTATTTATGTATAATCAACTGCACAACTTATACATTGTTATCTACTGTATATTAAAATTTTATCGACAATTGAATTTCATCAGCATAACTATGTAGGAAATCTGCAAATAATTTCATCCATTTGATGAAATATTTGTTGTGCATGTGATTATATATGTAATAGGAAGAGATGTAAAATATGTGACACTGTGAGACTAAAAAATAAATCAAACTGTGCCACGAATTGTGGTTTTTGTAATAATTTCTTTTATTTTTATTGAAATTCCTCATTTAAGTTGTGCTTACAACTTCATCTACATACCAAATATTTTTATTAGGTTTAATTTCAGGACTCAATTCCTTATGATGTTAAGGGAGTAACAGATATGACTTCAATATCATTAGGTGTTTCAGAGTATTATCAAGATTATTTACGTATCATTAAAGAACTGGTGGTACTAGGATTTGTTTCCTATGAGGACAAGGCAACTCTATAACCCTAATTACTGCCTTCAGACATGATTACAATATATTTATTTGTATGTGCTGTTATAAAAATGACAGTAAAGGTTTTGACTGTTCATACCACATACAAATGGACAATGTTAACAACGGACTTTAAAAAAAAATCAGGTGAGTGCCAGATACCAATTGAAATAATACTGAGAATATTGAACTGGACCATGGGAAAAAAATAGTACAAAAATCTTGGCATTCTTAAGCTGCATAGTTCGGCAAAAATATTTTTTAATTTTATTATGTATGCTGCAGGAAAAAGTTCTTAATATTTAAGTATCTTTTACATAATGGTAAATTAGTTGGGAAATAACTATTGCTTTTCAATTCTTTTGGATGTTGTTCTGATTAAGGTTAAACAAAAATATTTAAAAGATTGAATGTTTAATTTCAGTTGAAATTCTCCCGTAACTAAATTAAAACCGAATATCTATGGCATATTGCATCTTTCCATCTTTACATTATTATACAGTAAAAATATTTTTAAACTATGAAGTTCAATATATTTAACCAATTCCTAAAATAAAAACTATGCAGTGTTTATAATTTTAATAACCAATAACAGTAATTATACATACTATGAATAAATAAATACAATTTGTCTAAATCATCTCATTTTGCTTTCTCTTGATTGGGACTAGTGCTGGGCTCAACAGCTAGTGATGATGATATCAGGTTGTATGTCTTAGTTGCTGCATTGCTAGTATGTGTTGGAAGATCCACTAGAAATTGGAATGTTGTTTTCACTCCACAGTTCCAATAATACTTGAATAAATATGATATTCTATCATTTGAAGGAAGTGGCGGCAACTGAAACAATCAATATTTTTATGTTTCTTAATATAAAATTATAGAATTTCTAGGTACTTTTGTTTGTCTAAATGTATTATTATATTTTGTGATAAAGTATTCATTGCCAGTACAACAATCTATATTTATATGTTAAAATATAATTTAATCTTTCCCATCATAATTTAATCTGCAATTTAAAATGGAAATGGAAAGGAATTATACCTTTATAATATAATAAACTATATTAACATGTGACATTGTGTGATATCATGACAAACAAAATAAAGTAAAAACTTATGGGCTTATATTTTACCTCATAGGGAATTTGCTTCTTAAGTTCGCCAACATATGGGGAAACGCCTTTCTCAAGATCTTCATACAATGCTGTAGTTGTAGAACTATCCTTCCAAATGCCTTTATCAACCGTGTAATAAACAGCAGAGCCCAATATAGCAGACTTTAACCCAAACCTAAAATAAGAGGACAACTTAGTTAACACTTCTCTAGGTTAATGTAAAGAATGGACTTTTTTATAAAACCAAACTTACTTCAACATTATTGAAGCTTATTAAACATTAATTCAGCGTATAATTTCGTTTTGTTTATTTATTTATTTTTCAAATTACGTAATTTTTCAAATAACCTATAACAAAAGTGAGCAAGAAATGAAAAATCGGTACAAATTATTTTATGAGATGACATGACATGATATGACATTGACAATGACAAATACAATAGACTATGAAATACAAAAGGAGTTAAAATCTGTATTGTTTTGTATCATGTTATTTGACTTAATTCAAATGTGATTTTTATTGCTTTGTTGTTTATATTTGTATTGAAATTTTTAAAATAAAATAATATATTATCGGCTACAGTGCTTAGTTACTTGGTCATTTAAAATAATAATTATTGAATCTGTCCGTAACTTCCAACTTTTTATTTAGTAATAACTCGGATTCACAGTAGAAATTTATTATTTAGAATTCACAATGATGACAATGAATGAATTAGACGAAGTTATTTCGAAGTGTCTATTACAAAAACTTTCAAAAAATGTCGAACAAAGTGAGAACCACGTCGAATATAAACTTAGAGAAGATATGCTAGCCTCTCAATTTAATACAATATTAAAATATATAAATGATGAGTCTGAATCAGAAATAGCACCAGACATGTTGTCACAACTTTTAATTTTAGATCTTGAATTACAAAGTATTGGCCCCTGGTTCTGTGAATTAAGTAAGGAGTGTTCGGAAAAGTTAAACAACCTATTTGAAAATTTATACACTTTTAAATTAAGTACTGTATTGCAACATTTGGATGTTGATGATGCTCAGTTAGTATTTGATATTTGTTTCGAGGATTTACATACAAAATTAACATTGGAGGATTTTAAAAAGTATCCTGCACTACATGACGTGTATTGTTCAATTGTACAACACATACCGGTATACCATTTATATATTTCATTGAGCAATATGTTGTGTTTGCATTTATAGAAAACAGTATTAATATTTAATCATATTACAATTTATTCTAAGCTCCGTGGCAGGCCTTGGACTGTGAATGGCAAAAATTATAATGATTCTTTACTATAATCTTATAGAATTTAAAATTTATTAGTAATAAGGATGTGTAAATGACAAGGTTCAGAACTTGTATTGTTATATTTTATCCTTGCAGATTTGTTACTATAATGGCTGGACTAATTTGAAAATGGAATATGATACTAAGTTAGACCTTCATGTATACTGTACTAATATATATAATATAATACTTTGTGTCCAAATAAATTATGTCAACAACTTAAATAATAGCAGTAAATAATTAAGTTAATGCCCACCAATTATTAATAATTTTTGAGTATTTATTATAAAATCCACATCATGAAAATGAATACAAGTCTTTTTTTCATATTATGACTTGCTGCCCACATTGATAACATGTATTATATATATAAACCTTCCATTGGAATCACTGTACCTATAGCTTAAAATTGCATTAAAGTCTGTTGCTTAGTTTAAAATCTAAGTGCTCAGCCTACCAGAGCTACTTCGTTTTATACAATATAATATATAAATATTACTTAATATAAATATTTGTTTTTTGCAGGAATACAATGTTGTTATAAATCCAATGAAAATAATGCCAATTTGTTTACTTCTAATTGATGACTACATTGTCAATAATAAATTAAAAGGTTTAAAAAGCTGTTTAATTATATTAAAATGTTTGGTAAGTATTCCTGTCACACTAAATTTGTTAAAATATATATTTATTGAACCAATTTCTCTTACTTGTTAAACTTATTTTACATTTTTCTTACAGACTGCCCAGAACTTTCAAGGTGGCAATTATTATGAAGTTATTTATGGAAGCCTTAACAAAATCACACTTGATAAAGAGATTGATGTGACTAAACTTACTTTGGAATGTTTATTACAGTTGATGAAAATATTGCCACCAGAAATTAAGGTACATTTGTTTAGACTTTTTAAATTTATGTTTACTTTGTTGGATACCCTTCTCTGCTGAAATTAGAAGGGAAGGTAGAAAGGACTAAGTTTCAAAATTAAATACTATGTATAATGTTATTTTCAATACACTTCATATTCTATGAATGCATAATAATATTTTTTATTTTTTCATCTATAAGTCATGAGAATATTTATATTAGTAATGTGTATAAATATAGTATTTTATTAGGTAAAAAAATTAGATGATATATTCAAGAGAGGACTTGATCAAATTAACACAGAAGCCAACTTGTATAGAAAAGCAGCTTGGTTCAATTTCACAACAAATTTGATTGAAATGCAAGGAGTTAACTGTGTGGATCAGAAAATATTAAAATCAATCCTTTGCGATAATATAGACATGTGTTGCAATGAGGCTGTTGGAGAGATACTATTATCTGATGTATTAGAAGTAAGTTCCTACATTGTTACTACTTATTATCCAATTTTATTTATTAATATAACTTTAATATACCTATGGCCGACTTAACACCTTGCGGTGTTATCTACCAGTCAACCACGAGTGGTGGAGAGAAAGATTGATAGCGGTGCACTAATACAAATGAGACATGTAAAAAATATACATAATTAAATAAATATGTATAAGGTGAAATTTATAAAGTAATACATATATAAATAAATACTTAATGACCTGACAATCAATTTATAAGTACAGCCTCAAATTGGAAAATTTTTATGATTCAATGATATCATCAAACAATGTGTGTATCATATATGTATGTATTTAATTCTTCTCTAACCAATTCCAGTGAAATTTTGTGTATACATTGTTATTTTCAGTGTCTGGAAACGTGGATAAAATATTGTTGGTGCATCTGGAGATTTTCGAGTGATCAGAAAATTTTATCCACTTTATTGAAATTACTCTATGTATCATCTGGGGATGAACAGAAAGCTTCAAAGATACGAATAGTGATCATTACACTTGTTTGTTTATGCACAAAGGAGGAACAAAGAATTATATATAAAAATATAGAAGATGCAACACAGCAAATAAACAAACCAGAATTTGTTAGTAGTCTAGAAATAATAAAAAATAGTGTTTGTATATAATAAATTTATTCATTATTATTATTAATACAAAAATATATAATTTAATAACAATATTTTTTTATAAAATATTGAGCTTGATTATTAATTATCGTTAAAACTGCCTCACAATTGAATGAAATCATAATTTTATCAAACAATAAAATATGTACATTAACTTACTTAATATTAAACTGATGAAATTACCACAGATTATATGCTGAGAAAAGGCAATACTTCATATTCAACATAATTATATAAAATGTTAAACTTCTAAAAGCAATACATACATATTTAGTTTTGTCTTGCAATGTTATCAGTAAGTAAAAGTGTGTCTATAGCTTGTCTCAATTATTTTTGACATGATTCTTATTTTGACACTTTAGGACAGTAATAAACTATCTCCATTGTTCTTAAAAAATACTAATTTGTAGTGGAAAAGTTAATATTAAGACCTCACTAGATCAAAAATCTAAACTTCCATTGTTGAACTGAGATGGTAAGTGTGTGACCACATCCTTTATATCCGCGAATTTTTCTTGTGCAGTCAATCGTCGCCACAACACAGGACACTCAGTGTTCTCGCAGTGGAAGGACTGAGAGTGACCGCAACAAGAATTGCATATCTATAAAAAATTAATATAATTAGGATCGCCTGTAGATATAAATAACCCATGGATTCACGATCGTGTAATTGTCATGGACCTATAACTTATTAAATTACACATTTTTCAATGTATGAATACAAATAAAATAATTAATAATAACTGAACAAGCTCAAAGCTTGTGTAGTTATTATTAATTATTGTTATACTAACCTTTCAATTGAAGTATATTTTACAATGCAAGCTGTAGCTGCTGCTTGCAGCTAAGATAAGTGAGACTGAACTTTTTGTACAAAATCACTGGTTTAACACTGCATATGGGGATCGGCCTACTGCATTTGTGTTCATACGAGAGGCCTATTAAATCGAATCATGACACTAACCAATGTGCAATAGTGTAGATGCGCATGCGCGGTGGCCAGACGCGCTGCGAGCGCAGCGGAGGTGGGTCCCCCGGGGCCCGAGTGCGCACACATCGAGCACAGAGCACGTGCGGCGCGCGCACCGCACACCGCACATCGCCGCCGCCACATGTAGCGTGCGATACCGTCGGGGGCCACTCGTCTGCTAGCCTGTGCCACCCGGCTGTACCCTAGTTCTGCCCACCTGATTATATAATTCCTGCTTTAAACTCCTACTAGACCTAGCGTAAATACGTCAATACGTTATAATTTAATTATGGTCGAAGAACTTCGACCACTGAACGTCAAGTACAAGAACTTGTAAAAAAAATGTACCACTTGAAGACGTCGACGCCGAGCAGCGAGAGGCAGCGGTGCAGCGGCGGCAGCAGCACGCGCGCGGCGTAGTACGCGGTGCGGGCGGGCGCGGGCCGCCGCCGCAGGTCGCGGGGGCTGCGGGCGCTCCGCCACAGCGGCTCGTCGGGGGCGCCGCCCGTCACCGCCCACGACACGCGCCATCCGCGCGGAGGAACCGCACGCGGATCCGACGCCGCCACGCGCCTGCGTATACGCATCACTTCAATATATGCGATTTTTTCACGTAACTGAAATGGCGGTAAGTGGTAACCGGCGAATATATACGTGTGGGATTAGATATGCATGGCGAGGAACGTTGCGTGAAATGGGAACATAGATGTGTGCAAGAAAGAGAGGAGAAAGTGAAAGGGAGAAAGACAAGAAGTAATGAAGCACATTTTCTATCTTATTAATATTATAAACGCGAAAATATGCGATGGTGTTTGTTAGTCTTTCAGGCAAAAAGTATTGAACGTATTTTGATTCAACTTTACAGTAATATAGCTATAATATCATCACAATAAGATACATATAGGCTGTAATTTTACGCGGGTGAAACCGCGGGCACAGCCAGTGTATTGTAAGATGTAGATCTTAGGGATACATACATAAGATAATAATTAATAAGAACATTAATGATATACTTGTACATTGCTTTTATCGTATCCTTTTTTTATTATTTTAATAATGAATAATCTATATGATTACATAATTTATCATACTAATATTATGAAGAGGAAAAGTTTGTTTGTTTGTTTATATTGAATAGGCTCCGAAACTACGTGACCGATTTGAAAAATTCTTTCACCATTAGAAAGCTACACTACACTACACTACTACACTTCGTGAGTTTCATAGGCTATATTATATTTCCAAAAAAGTTAGGGATCCTTACCAAATCTCCAATAATGTAACCCAAGGTGTAAAAAATTGCACAAAAAATATCTAACACCGCATGCGCTGCGAAAACTATTGATGATAGAAAAAAAATTATGTACTACAACTTTGCAGAGCACATCATTATCTATAAAAAGTGTCGCGACGGCATGTGTCTATCTATCACAGTTACGTCACAATAAATGTTTTTTTTATTTATAAATTTAATTGAAGCGCCGCCGCTAGAAAAGTATCTTTATTTTATTATCTTGGTATTAATCCTTATCAAAATAAATTACCTCATATTAACGACTGCTTCAATACCTGTATATAACTTTTTGAATTTTTCCATTCGGACATTCCATTCGAAAAATATCACGTATGTGTGTACAATGTAATGTAATAGAAAAAAACCTACTCCTCTGTTAGCTATAAACCAAATGCGATGTAGGGGCGTCACTGGGGTACGGGTACACAGGTAGGAGGATACTTGCTAAGATAATACAATCGGGGTAGATAGCGATAGCACTTTCATTTGATGTGATCTAGGGCGAAATCAACGAAATATGATCTACGAAATAATCTATTATTCAAAAAGTAGACAGACAAATAAAAAATTACAGCGTGACTAATATCGAAAACGCAGTTCATTATCCACAGGAATTTTTACTAAACCCTTTTGGACTACTACCATACGATTTGTGGTCATAAATCTGAATTTGAAAAATTCTGATAAAAAGCATGATCCAATCATGATTTTTTTAAATGTAAACCCATCAGAGACTCCTTACTAAGGAATTGAACAACAATTTTTGTAGTGACCATTACCACTGGCACGGACCACGGCAGCCGGGCAACTAGCTCATATACCAAGAATATCGATGATCCCAACTGATCTGCAAATACCATTTAAATGGCTTCAATTTCCGATTAACATATCTTCTATGTAATAGACCTAAGTATGTTTTGATCTTAAAAAAAAACGCGGATTTTGATGCGTTTTTGTTTAAAAGACAAAATAGATAGAGTGACTCAAGAGGAAGGTTTAGGATATATAACGTCCCACTACTGAACATGGATCTTTAAACGACCGATAACCTACATATTCTATGTCCACGCGGGCGGATATCTAGTAAATAAATAAGTATATAATTTTTGTGACATTAACAAAATATTGTATATAATGGTTTTACTTAGCGATCTCATTTGGCGGCGCGGTGGCCCCGGGCCTGTAGCCGGCCTGCCCGTGGTACTCCCGGGTGAAGAACAACTCGTGTAGTGGCAGCGTGCCGCTCGCCAGCCGCGACAGTGTCGATACCACGATACTCTTCACACGCGACATGTCGCCGCTATCGAACAACTCGCATAGTGATTGTTGCAGCAGCTGCGTGTAATTAAACAACCATAATCGCAGATTTAACATATCATAGGAGACTGTAATAGACCTACATGAATAAAAATATTTTGAAATTGAATTTGAATAAACTCAATATCGATTAGGACATTTTTTGGCATAAAAAGAATGTAAGAAGAAAATATTGTCAAAACATGTTAGATTCTTATATATACATTATTTATATTATTATTATTAACAACCGGTGTTAAAACACGGTTAATATTATAAATAATGTATATTACACACAAAAGTAAAAAAAAAAACTATAGTTAAATATGTAAAATAATACCTAATACAATTTTAAAAAGAAAAAGCTACTCCAAACTACATATATATAATGTTATAAATAAAAGAATATAAGGAAGAAGCAGATAATGATATACTCACTTTGACACCGGCTGGACATCCATCCCTGCGTACCGTTTCTATCCCTTTAGCCTCAAACACAGGCTTCTCTTGATCGGGATTCTCGTACATATATCCCACGTAACGCTTTTTCGTTTGCAAGATACACGGTTGGTACACCTTTAAAGGACAATACCAAGCAATATATTAATAATAATGAACAAACAGACATTGGCTGATTTTGTAGAAGCTTGTATTATTTATACTAAAATATATAAAGTGAAACAAAAATGGTCCCTATGCAATTACTTCCAGACTACTATATATATAAATCTATATATCTAATATATATCTTTGTATGTAGTATTTTATTATGTATACTATTATACATATACCTATATCATACATTATTTAATAATTTTATAAAGTAAACCTCCTTCGAGTACCTCCGCACTTCCTAAGGTTGTCTGGTAGAGAATGCTATTAGCATAAAGTCCGTCTATTATACAAAAATTTATTAATAAATTATTTAAATATAAAAAAGTATAACGCTGTTATAACTTACCTTTTCTAGCTTAAGTACAACTGGTGACGGGTTGTCAGCTGTGACAGCGTCTGCTATCTGTTGTCCGAGCGCGAACGCCTCAGCACGCGTCCCTCCCGGTACAAGCACGAACATCGAGTCCGTATCGCCATAGATAACCTGTATTGTGTATAAACAAATAAAAATAATAATATCCATGGGCAATTCAACAACGTCATCTAGTGGGACTAGCTAAATACTTATGATTTATATATTTTTTGTACATACATACATAATAACACATAGAAAACACTCAGACTGATACAAACAGTCATACTCATGAATACAAATGTTTGTACCGTGCAAGGACTCAAACCCGTGACCATCGGAATTAAAGCGGTGGTGTTATCGTGTATATTATATATCTAATTTAAAAATATTATTTTAATTAATGTATATCAGTTGTCAAGTACTTATATGTGCTGCTACACCGACCACGACGATGTACCTGTCCCGTCTACATTACGCCACTAAGGACAGGACATTGTCGATTATATTCTTACCAAGAGTAACCTGACATTGATGGTAACGTAGCTGAAGTCGAGTCACAACGCGAGTTTCAAAGCGTTTGTGGCCCTGGTCCCCACCGACTTGCTGCCCACCTTCATGAAAGAGGACTACTGGCCGAAAGGTGTGGTATATCGGCGCTACCGTGGCAGATTGCCGTCTTCAGTGCCGTGATCACACAGACAATATCATTGTATTAGTTTTTAAATATTATATTATATGTATGTTAGTCTATAAGGTATTTATAATATGGGCCTAGTTGCCTGAAATAAATGAATAAATAAATAAAATGTAACACAAGCTCTGTATAAATTCGAAACAGAAACTGCCTTATTATTAACTTTTCAAGGCAAAAGGCTAAACGGATCATAATGAAATCTAATATCAAGATTGTACCGCAAGGACAAACGAAGGCTATCTTTAATTTAATAAAAAACAGACGATGGCGCGGGTAACAGTTGTTAAGCATTCATAATAATAATAAAATTGTTCATACATACCTTGGCATTCCACTGCTTATTGTCGCGAACCAGCTTTATAGCTCGTTCTAAGGTCTCCCTGCCCTTAGAGACGACACTGTCTCCCACCTCCACGCATGGCATACGGCCGCTGAAGTTAGCCGCTGTATATCCATATGTTACGTTTGCTATTAGTTTCAAACCTAAAATATCCACAACAACAATAAAATTAGAACTAGGTAATCGAGGAGAGAGGGAACTATTTATTAAAACAGGTGTTGACATGTTTGGTGACAAAATACCCAAAATCAATTTAGATCTTTTAAAAAAATGTACTTAATGTTGGTAAAAAATATATATTTAGGAGCTTAGGTTCATAATAGTGAACATGTTGGCTCTGACATAGCTTATCAAATTGAAATAATTATCAAACTTACCCAGCTGCCTCGAATGCATAGCCTTTTTGATTGCCTCATCTGTCTGCACCTTCATATTTTTCTTAACGGCTTGCCTAGCAGCTAGAATTCTTCTTAAGAGTGCTGGTAGAACTCCGCGACGGACAGATGTCTTCACGAAACCAACACCAACCGGAGACCAGTGCACTAGGCCGTTCTTTATTAAGGTTTCTAGCTTTGTTTTCGGTATCCGTAAACGCCATGCGCCGAATTCGTAAGCGGAATCACTGGAGAAATGACGTTCAATTAATAATAATAACTCTGGACAATTCACATAACACCATCTAGTTCCAAGGTTGTGTTATGGATACTAGACAACTAATAGAAATACTGAGATATATATTTTTAATACATACATGATATACATGGAAAATAACCAAACCGATTCATGAACGTTTGTACCGTGCGAGGAATCGAAACCGCGACCATTGGAATTGTAATAATAATGTAGTAATTGTAATATAAACATAAAAGGAATATAAAAAACATACCCATTTATATTCTGAACACGGCCGATGCAAGTAGAGAAACAATAGTTGTAAGCAATCATCATCGAAGGGTACAGACTTTGGAAGTCCAGTACAATAACAGGATCAGAGTAGAAGCGAGATTCTGTAAAAAAAATTGATAAATACAAATGAGGTAAATAGGCATAGAATCTATCCGATAGTGTAGCCTATGTCATCTATAAGACGGGGGCACTATATGCAGGGGTATGTATTGCCAACAATGTAGAAAGGTTTAAGAAAGTGTTATAATTTAGATTAAAATCAAACATAAAGATAAACAAGTCTCATTAATCTTAAGTGGAACTATATTGTAGCTATATTATTCATATTTAAAAAAGTGTAATTATGAGTGATTGATGTCTAAAAGAATGTAGTGGAAGTATGAGACTAATGTTATAAGAATAGCAATGCATTTTTTTACACTTTTTTTACAGATTAAGAAAATTAAACAAAAAAATTTTGTAATAAATATCTGTAATATTATATAAAATTGTTTTATAGTACATACCTGGTTCAAATATAAGTGGTAGACATTCAGGTGCTCGCATACTGGCCCTCTGTTTGACTGTCGGCGATAGCGCTATGAGGTTCAAGGGACGAGCGGCGCGCAACATTAATGACTCCACTCGGAATTGAGAACCGCGGGAAAGCACCTCCCACCATTGCAGGCCAAAAAGCCGAGCAAGCTCAGATGTGCGGTCTAGTAAACAATAATAAACAAAATCAATTTACATTATAGAGCTCTTATACAACTAAAGGAAAAAAAGAATTAATGTAAATACTCACTTATTATGTCTAATTTCTCTAACATTCGAACAGTACCAGACAATCTCGTCATATAATATTCTACTGTTATCCATCTAAGTATCCTAGATTCTTCATTCCACCACGCCGCTAATTGAGCAAAGCTAAACTCGGGTACTCTTTCATTCAGTACTTGGTACATACAATTCTCAAAACTGTAGCTAGAAAGCGCTAGCTCATGACGAAACAAGCGCCAAACATTGAATGTAATCCTCCCAATTATTTTTCCTTCGAAATCCTTATCTTCACTCCTCCATCGTTTTTGCCTGTATTTCGCTGTTATTCTAGATATTTCTCTGACCATTTCCATTCCTAAAACTTGAGCTCTCTCCAATATAAAACCCCAAGATTTCATATCTATCTCATACCCACACATTATATCGGGGTCATGTTTCTTTACTAATTCAATAAGCTTATTAAGAATATCATTTTCACTATTTACATATGTTATATTAGCCTTGAAAATACATCTATCTAATAAATTTGGTGGTGGTGTATTATCAACGACTATTATTTCTGTGGTCGATTTGACAAGTGAATGGTCTGCAGGACAATCATTTGTGACCATTATGAATATTGCTTGTATAGTGTCTACTGATGGATCAGGATGTAAATCACCTCTTACAGTTGTGAATACTTCAGTGAGCATCAGAGTAAGGAAATTCACCTGGGTAAAACAACACATACTTCTGCTTAACATACAAAACTATATTTTTTATTAACTGTATCATATATTAATTAACTACAAAATAAATAGCATTAGTGTTGGAAGCGTTGAATGATTAATATTTTAGAGAGGTTGTTATCAAATCCGTTTATATTAAAATATTTTTTATTAACTTCATAAATTATCTTTATATGTTGTTAACAATTTCTAAGCCATTGAGTAGCAAAGATTCAAGTGTAATTTTTATATATTTTAATTATAACTCAAGTATATTAATTTTAGTAACTTACTTCCACTGATGGGCTATCTAAAATACTATCACTTTGAGTTTCGTTGGTTCCAAAACATAAGAAGGAGCCATTGGGTTGCATTGTCACTTGGAGACTATTGATTTCATTCAGCTTTTCCTGCAATGATATTTTGTTTTGAATAAATGTAACTACTAAACTTAGATTCTTTTGACAGTAAAAATCAATGAATGTATGTAACATTGAAAGGTAATAAATATAAAATTTTTTTTCTTACTATTTCTCATAACTACATTGTTATACCTCACCGGCGCCCCCGGGCGTCCCTCCGATCGATCCCCCGTCCAATTCAAACGGGGATCGAAATTACGACGGCTTGAGCCGAGGTTCGAACCCCTAGTGGTGCCCTCAGACTAAAGTCGTATCCGTCAAGCAGGAGTTGGCCTTCAGCCGCTCCATAAGTCCTTCCGCGGGTTTGGAGTGCCATCTGCACTCGCCCCCTAACGTCCGGTGAAGCAGTAAAGGCCAACTGCGGCCAACAGCATTAGAGTAGTCCGTTGTTATATACAAAAATTGTTATATGTTACCTAATGTAAAAAAAAATAAGTAATATATTCCATAAAATTCATATTTTCTTACGCACAAAGGGTTTTTTATTCAATAGGGAGTTTATTTGCTTACATTACTTATATTTTTAGTAAACATTATATGACACGGATTTATCTCGTGACTTCATAGTACTATTGTCATGATTAGTCAGTTTGCTAGCTTTTTGAAAGAATGGAATGTACATGCAAATTTTGTTTATAATTGTTAATATTCCTGTAATATATTTTTCAGAAGAAATAGGTAAGCAAATTTATATCTACCTTATCACACTCTAAGCTAACATTAGTATTAATTGTATCTTCGTGTAGTCCTATTATTTGGGAATTATCTATCTCGTCCAAATTTTTAGCTACATGAACATTTTGAATTGTGTGCTTTTTAAGCTCTTCTTGTTTTTGGTTTTGTATCCATTTCATAACTTGGCTCCTTGTTGGTGGCGTTTTTAAAGGTTCTAATATAGTTGCCTTATTTCCAGCTAACAATAATTTTAGAGCTTCAGGTTTGGAAGACTCCTCAGACATGTCATTCGTCTGTAAAAATAACATATGGCGCCATTCCTCTATGCTCGTAGTATCAAGCACTCTATCGTAGGGTTTCTGGTCTCTAGCTACCTTGCTATGTAACTTTATTATCATTTGGCCAATTTCAACTCTATCGCCAACATCTTTGGGATCTGAGTAGTATGGTTGAGGATGTTTTACTTTAGGAATGCTATACTTTTCAAGACTAGACACAACATGTTTCATTGTAGGTGGTCTTATTTTTGGGGTCAATATAATACAATTATTATCTTTCGATTCACTTGTTCTAGAATATCCCTTAATATCATAACGATCGGAAATTATTTCATTATGCTTTTTTATAACATTTTCAACAGATATATTAATACTTTCTTCGGACACATCAAAAAATTTTGAAGTGTCATAAAAACTTATAAATCCGACATTATTGTCATCAGGAGAGGATTCGAAAGATTTATTAACAGAGATATCTTTAATATTTTGCACTGATGAGGATCCAGCTGCAGGTATAAAATTATTTTGCATGTCATAAAAATCAGCAGCTTCTTGTTTTATTGATATTTTGTTAACAAGTTCTGCAATAGATCCAGTTTCTATTTTATATTTAACATCTTCCTCTTTAGCATCCACTTCAGAATTTTCTAACTTGGTTTCAAGTTCTGATTTTATTGATTGTTTAAGATGCACACTACATATATTATGTACAGGTTCCTGTGAATCATTAATCTCCGCTATATCATTCACATCTAAGGAAGGATTTCCTTTATGATCATTTTTGTCACGATTTTTCTTAGGGCGTGATAATCCAAGTTTCATTGATCTCATTTTTCTTTTTCTTACTTTTTTAACATCTAAAAAATTTTAAAATGTTTTTAAGCACATGCTTCTCACAAATCCAATATAGTTTTTTTTTTATTTAAATAACACACTTACGATCATCATCGCATGTTCCATCAAGTTGTGGAATATCTGCACCATCCCAAAATGAATCATTCCATTCAGTTGAATTTTCTTCACTAGTATCACTGCTGTAAACAATATTAAAAATCTGTTGTAACATAACAAATTATTGAAATTTAAGTAAAATGTCTTAGCTTTACATAATATCATATAATACGAAAACAGTTCAGAACTGATAAATGTATATTTCAATTTACTGATTATTATTAAAAGAAAAACCTTATAATTAGTGATTATTAGTCAATAAAAATGAGATTGATTTACTTTTTAAATAATTGTGTAAGTACAGCTTCTTCATCAAATATTTGTGAATATTCAAAATCATCTAATTCAGCCTCTACATCTTTGTTAGATTCTGCTGGAGTTTGTATCACACTGTCTTCATCCTTCACATTATCATCCATATCTTGTAACATGTCTACTAGATCTAAATCTTCATTGTTTACTGTAATCAATAAATTTATTTTAGAACTAGACAAAAAATACATATCTAACAAATATATATAACAGAGTCCACCATTAATTGCTTCTTTATTTTGAAATATTTCCTTTGTATTTTTATTTTATTATAGACACTACAATTTATTTATTTTGTTACAATTTACATATTTATTCCATGTATCTTACTTTTATAATTAAATAATTAACTATTTATTTACTTACATAATACCTGACTATAATGCAAACTACAATTCAAAGCAACATCTTCATCAACAATGGTTTCATCCAAGTCTACTGTGAGAGTTTCATCCAAGCTTCCCCTTAAAGTCTCATTAAAACTAATAGCAACCTGGTTCTGAGGTAAATGTATACTCACATCCACTGCATCGATAAATTGTGAACCTTCTAAACTTTCAGCTGGATAATATATTTTTTCTGATTCTGTATGAACTTCATGCTCAGTTTGCACAGGTTTATCTATATCACCAGTCATTTTAATTAAACACATTTGCTGGTATTTATAGTGTGATTCAGTCTCGTCTGAGCCAATTCTGGCTTGAGACAAAGATTTTGAGGCTATAGATATATTTAATTGTTTTCGTCTTTCATTCTCTTGATTCCATACTTCTTCAAGTCCAGGATTTTCTATTCCATCTCCTTTACCTATTCTTTGTCTGTTAATAATATGAGAAGCAACACAGTCTGCTTCATAAAAACATATGCTTTCAGGTTTCAAAGACCCATCATCAACACTCTGTACTGGTTCATTACTACTTTGTGATAATCCTGATTTACGAAATTTTACATTTTGTAAATCAATATAGCTCATACCAAAAAGATTGAAATCAATAAAAAATTGGAGAGTGAAGTTAAGATGGGACTCATGTGGTTGTAACACATGTCCAAGTATAGCTCCATTACTACAGAGTTCAACAGCTTGTTTAATCAAATTAGGACTGTACAAAAAAATCTTGAGATATAAATGGTTTTTGTCATGGAATCCATAAAATGGTCTGAAAATAAAATGTAATAAGTATAATACTGCCTTTTCCGAATGTACTTGAATTTCCTTACCATATAGCATAGAATATAGATAAATTTGTGGGTATGTATATTTCTATGACTACACTGGATTCAATCAATTATGAATGGTTACCATAGACACCATGTCTGTGTGTAAAAGATACCATGTCAAACCCTTAAGATGTAAATTGATTATGCTTATTTTAAAAAATTAATGTAAATTTACTTACAATCCTTTAACCATTGATATTCTGTATACATGTTGGTTTGTTGATGTTGCCTGTTTTAATGCAATGTTTAAAGCTTTATCCAAGCTGGCCGCAATCTGAAAATATATTTTACAACATTGATTCAAACTTAAAAATCCTTTTTTCTTGCATCACAAAAATAGTCTGTTTATTTAGTGGGTCACATATAATATAAAGATAAAGAAGCCTCTCTGCACTTTGCATTACTTTTTTTTGTCTTTGTTACATATGTTAGTTGTTTCAAATTTTACAATATACAATTTTTATTTTTACTATTATAAGTACACAATCATTCATTATTTTGATTTAAATATGTATTTTATTAATTATATTATATCCCGCAATACACATTGTCCTTTAGCAAATGCCTTCTCTAATTTTTTCCAATGTACTCTATTTTGGGCTGGCTTTCTCCAATAGTGCCCCTATTGGGCTGTTAGCTGTACAGTTGAACATTACATATAGTTTATAATTATTATAATAAGAAGGATTAAAGGATAAAATTTATAAACATAAAAAAGTACATACCTGATAGAGTAACTGAGGTTCAGGATTTGTTGATGGGCATGGTACATAGAAGTATGGGAACACACCATGCACATGAATACATGCTTTATAACCATCTGATGCAGGACCAAATATCCTCAGAATCGGAACCTATAAAAAATAAATAACTTTGGACAATTAACACAGCACCATCCATTCCCACGGTAAGCAGAGCTTGTGTTATGAGTACTAGAATGCTTATATAAATAATTAGATACTTTTTTGTAGATACATACATAATATATACAGAAACACTCAGACTGTCACAAACAATCATACTCAAGAATGCAAATGTTTGCACTATACAAGGAATAGAGCATGTGAACCATTATAAAAGTGTGGCATAGGGTATATATAAACAATACATACAATATTCGCAAAGTTATGAGCACCAGAGCGAAAATGTATATGTTATTGTTTTAGTTATTCTATGTTCAAATAAGGAAAATGTTTTTATAAAATTAGTTTACAGTTATGAACAAGTTAATACCTGTTTTATGTCAGCTCCTCTGAAGTCTGAATAAATAACGTCAAGGTTTGGATCAGGTCTAGTCAGATAATGATCACAAACAGCTATACGAACAGAAAAATCTGCTTTTGGTAGATTTGTAGCTGTAAAAAATAACGTATATGTATCATTGTTTACCACATTAATTTTAAAAATATTTTACTGATAACAAGAATGTAGCGACTAAGAACATCGGTAGTATGATAATTACTTACAGCTTGAGTGGCTCATAATAGTTTATTATTGTAAGAAAACCTGTCTGTATTGTTTTGGAACTAACTTATTAAATTCCCTTTGAAAACTATGAAAAAAGTTAAAAATACCGCAAACTCGCAAAGCAAAATCTGTGAAATATAAATATTTTCTCTATAGTACACTCATTAGTCTATTTTCATTTTCATTATTTCTTGGATATAAATTTGAACAAATATGACAGATTTGAGAGCTTTTAGTGAATTACGCGAAAAAATTACGTGCTTATTACGGCATAGGTATTAATAATGAGACTGTTTATATTTTTTTTATTAGTCGGCCTGTCAGAAAGAAATTTCGATAATTTTTAACTCCTTTATAAGAACAGAAATTTTAAGGCTTGCAACCCCGCAGGTATGTCACTAACGTCATCCCATTGTCCTAATCACACCTGTCTTAATCACAATTCAATTAGGTATTTCAAAATGGAAGAAATATCGATATGTCGATATTTATTTTAAATCTTTATGAAATCTATTAGCCTACTAATCGATATAACACAGTGTCTATGAATTTTAAGATATACTATTTTTATATGTTTCTCGAATAGCTAATTGAATTTTTTATAGATACGGAGTAGTTACAAAATATTATCACCTTACAGTCCTTAAGTGAATTGTCAAACAGAGCGTTACACTTTGGTAAACTGTTTAACTTATTTTGCACTAACTCCAAAATATATGAATTCCCACGACTTCGATCTAATTTTGCTGGTGTTGGAATTGGCATTTTAAAAAAACTAATATTGTAAAAGTTAAATCATTGATAAATGGTGTACTGTACATATTTGTATTATAATCATTTCACATAATTACCTATGTTCATGACAACTGGCTACTTACAGACAAGACAGACACGTTCCCCATTTCACATATAAAATATTCTCACCTCACTCGCCTTATACAGCTCTGTTCTATATATATATATATTTTTTTTTTTAAGATAATCTATTGTTAATATTATTCTTTTCAATATACCAATTATTAGTTGAGGGTCTATTTTATTTATATATTTATTGTTACCGACCCCACAGATATATCGAATTATTGGAGTATAAACGAGTATCGATGAGTGTACGTCGTTATGTCAAAGCAGATTGATTTATCGACATTTTTACAAGCCTAGTATAAAGTAATTTATTTTGTATTGTGATTAAATTTGGTGTTGTCGTGTTCGTGTTTCTTTGAAAAAAATCTATCTGTTGAGTTTCTCGTATTAATATAAATTTGTAATGATTTAAAAACCTAAAAGTAAAGGTTTTGTAAAATGAATACAATGTAATTTAGTTTGGTTCATATTGTGTTAACAGAGTCAGTGTTAAGTGATCGTTCCATTTGTAATATTATGAATTTGTCGGAAAAATGAAGTGTTACTCTAACGTGGAAGCTTTAGAAGAAAATTCAATAACAATTAAGAGATAATTTCTCTGTCATATGGACGATGGATGATGAAGAAGCGGATTTACGGGAGCAGATATTTCATAACAATGTCAGAGAGCAGATTGTGAGTTTATCTTTTTTCTTCATTTAATATAAATAAAAAAATAACTATTGCACTCTTTGTTGTGTGTCGGGTCTATTGTCTAGACAATGTTTCGGGACCTCGTAATATTCATACAATATTTCACATTGTTTGTACAAGTTATGAACATTAAACATTTTTTTCTTATTTTCAATTGAATTGGTACTTAACTGTCGAAATGAATATTTCAACCTGTTGTGTATCTTATAAACTTAAAAACACTAAAAGTTATTATATATTTTTTATATTATACAGTTATTAACTGACATTTAAAAACATCAGATGTACTTAAAAGGTGAAATTGAAATAATTACTGAATTATTTACTACCTCAAAATTTCAATTAGTTCCAAAATTCTAAGTGTCAATTTCTGTATTTAAATTATGAATTATTCTTGTGGTAAATATAATGAATTCTTTTAGATTTTCCTGCTACTCTTCATTTTACTTTACCTCTTCTCATTTATGGTGATTGAGAAGTTTAGACAGCGTGATAGTGAGGACTGTCTTACAGCAGATGAAGATGAGGTGAAGGTTTACCGCATAAGCCTGTGGCTGTGCACTTTTGCTCTAGCCGTATCACTGGGATCAGCACTATTGCTGCCTGTGTCAATAGTCAGTAATGAAGTGCTGTTACTATACCCGAATAGTTATTATGTGAAGTGGCTTAACAGTTCATTGATACAAGGTAATTCATATTTATTTCATTACATACTTATTTATAATAAGCTGAAATATACAACACTCTGTCCTCACTAATTTATTTGGTATATAAATGGTTATTAAGTATTATTCATTACTAGATACATTAATATTACTTAATTACTTCAAAACTATCACAGATATCCATTACTATAAATATTTACTATGTTTATGTTATAATAATTATCAATATAAACTAAAGTAATATCTCAAATAATAAGACAGATCTAACTAATTATAATAAAAACTGTCTAACAGCATTTATCATATTTAATGGAATTCAAAGGCTTATTTTCTTTATGTAGTAATAATTAAATGTTTTAATAAAGATATGTACTAAGAAATGTGAAATAATTACACATTATATAAAAAATTAACTTCTGTAATATAAATTTTCCAATTAAATAACAGAAATGTATTTATTTGATGCAGCATGGCAAATTGGTTACAGCTCTGCAAACAAACCTCTGCCAACAGAGCAATTGTATGCAGAAGTGTGAAATCACTGATGTTTAAATTCAATGGCATCTATATGTTTGAGTGCAGAGACACATGCACTTTCCTATGAAATATGTTAAGACAAGATTTCTCACAGATATTTTTAAATTTATTTATTATATATACTTATGAACATAATGATGAATAAAGCCTATTGTTAACAATTATTGGAGAGACAGCCTAGTTTTACCTGTTCAGACAAGGAATTATCAATAATATAAATATGTTACACATATATACTATTTTAATGCTGTTATTGGTTTTAAGATAGAAATTGATTAATAAAAATATTAACATAAAAAAATGGACCAGTTGAGTTTCATGTCAATTCTTTTCAACTGAAGTAGCTAGGCAATCCAGTTGGTAAGAACAGTAATAAAAAGTTATCATGCAAAAGTGTGCCAAAATTATAACCAAAACCAAGCTCAAAACAAATTACATATATTGTCTTGTGTATGTCTCCATGTCAACATTATGATGAATATGTGTAGAATCCTTATGTGTGCTACATAACTAATAATGGTTTTTTTTGTTACAGGCCTATGGAATCATGTGTTTCTATTCTCAAATCTGTCAATGTTTGTATTCCTGCCTTTTGCATATCTATTTTCCGAGTCATCCGGTTTCCCTGGATGCAGGGGGCTAAGAGGACGAGTGTATGAGACATTTATTGTCTTGGCTTTACTCGGTGTGGCCATGTTAGGCCTGGCTTATGTAATCTCAGCATGGTTGAAAGGAGACCGCTCCAGTATTGATGCTTTACTTAGTAAGTAATATTGTATATCATAATATTATTTACATTATGTGCCAGATTTATTTAATAAGATAAAAAAGTATATGACATATACTGTTAACCACTGACTTCGTATAAAGTGATTTCCATGGAACTGATCTTTCTCAGCAACAACATCGCTTTGCAGGCTGTATTCTGTTTACAACATAAAAGTACACTATACATAAAAATGGGAGAATAATAAATAAATTTGAAGATTAATAAAGAAGAAGTATTTGCGTCACTCGCGACTTTCTTTTTATACAAAGTTAAGCCTATGTCTGTCGTCTAATACATATAGAATTTATAATATTAGAGTTATAGCAAGACATTGAACAATGTATTATCAGTAGTCAATTGTGCGTGAAGAGGAGCGTAATAGGTTTGTTTGTAAGTCAATGTTAGTAGGGTGTGGTCTTTAGGCGCCTGGGCGCAGGAAGTGACAGTTTTACAATAGTAGTTTTTGATATTGATAGTAGTTAGCCTCCTGGTTTTTATTTGTACTATATCAAGCACCTGGACCTTTGTGAAAACTAATTATGTTCAATTGTAACAGATACATGATAATTTCGAACGGCCTATGGTCTAGCGATGTAGCAGACTGCCTTATTTCCGATAGTCGCAAGTTCGATTCCTCGCACTATACAAATATTTGTATTTATGAGTATTATTTTGTATACCTGAATTTTGCATTGCGAAATGTATTTTTGTATTATTTACTTACATTACGTCAACATCGGTTTCGCGGTGGTAAATGATTAAAACTGTATAATGGCCTATTTTTAAATCGGTCTAGTCCGTATCGGATAATTGGTAGTAGAAATAAAATACCTACGCAGGAGTACAAAATCTACCTCTATTGGGAAAGTTCCCTCCTAACGTATCCCGGAAATTATATAAAGATTTTAAGGAAGGATTATGGCATAATGATAAAAGTTTATTAGTTTAATGGTATCTAACTTATTCTTTTTTGTTGACAGATCTGTGGACATATTTACCTTTCCTGTATTCGTGCGTGTCATTCGTTGGTGTTCTGATGCTGCTAGGTAAGTCCGTGTGTACAGAGTGTTAAGTGTTAAGTTAGAGAATAATTTGTGGTCTCTACTATATGGTAATAATATGACATGATGCTACAAATCAGCTTTAAATTTTCAAATTATAGAGTCTCAAGCTGGTAACGAAAGATACACTGTTTTTAGAAATTATAACCTGGGGATAGGCAGTTATTATCCGCGGAAGTTATTCTAACGCGACCTCGTGAGTCGTGACTTCGCCAATGGCTGTTGTAGGTTCATAGTGCGGTTTTTAGTGGGTTCACCGCCTAATCACCGGCGTCACCGGCGAGGGAACGGTCCTTAGAATATTTTTTCCACACGATTAAAAAAAGGCATTATCAAATGTCAATGTTGAGGAGAAACCAATACTTGACATACCAACATTTCTGCTGGGTATATTGGAATGCAACGTGGCAGGGGGCGAGCCTAATGCCGGTTATTGCTTAATGTCTGAACTAAGACTGCATACAAACGATATAATGTGAGATATACGCAAATAATTTATGATAGATTATATATTTATCAGTTAATCCTATCAGTATCTGATATTAAACAGACATCATAATCGATGTTTTAAAATATAATACAAACAGCGAACTAACATTGTTTATATTTCTTAAGAGTTCGTATATTAAAACTAAGAAAATAATAGAGTTTAATATGCATGCACTTATATTCTATAATATTACAACCGACGCGACGGTATTTTAATTAATTTACGCGAAAGCGAAATCTGCTCCAGAAATGATTCTATTTATGGTTCAGAACTGCATAGAACTCCGTTCAGTGGTTTCCGAGATTATCACAAATATACAGACAGTCGCGGCGGTATCTTTGTTTTATAATGTGTATAGTACTTAAATAGCTATAAAATGCACTTGCCGTTTGGCAAAAAACATTGCGTAGGTATCATTAGAGGCCTTCTGTTGGTCAACGACCTTTGTTAGTGCAGTTATAGTATCTATCTATCGCCTTCCTAGTAGGTACTAAGTAGAAAACTGTTAATCTCAGATAAAGTCCAAGTCGAAAGCATTTGTTATCTACTGTTGGATATAATTTTATGTTTGACTAGATGTGCTTACGAATTCGTACACAAGTTATACTGACCTTGACCAATTAAAGAAAAAAAGATTCTAGCTTCAAACATGCCTAATTTCTATACAAACTTTCATCTCCTCTTTATTTTAATCCCTTAAGGGTAACATATTTACAAACTTTATACGTCATATTTATTTATATTTAATCAACAGCCTAAAAATAAGTTTAAAGCTTCTAACATTAAAAATGACGATACTTCCATACAAATATTTATCTCCCATTTCGATCCCTTACAACTCTTTTCTCGCATTAAAAAGTAGCCTGTGTCCTTTCTCAGTTTCTGTTCTATGTGTGTACCAAGTTTCATTTAAATCGGTTCAGTAGTTTTGGCTTAAAAGCGAGACAGACAGACAGAGTTACTTTCGCATTTATATTATTAGTAAATATTAGTAAGGCTGTAATTGGAATGGCAAACTAGCTAATGGCCAACCTGATAGTAAACGGTAACTCATGCTTTGCGATTCAAGAGTACTATCATATCATGCCTTTATATATAGTATAATTTCATTGAGTTCTACAATGCTTCAATAAATTTTAAGATTCCGTCGTGGTTTAGTAATAGTAGTGATTTTCTATTTATGTCTACATGATTATTTTATTCTGTAATTTGTTCAACCTTTGTACCTTCAGACATTGACGGCGTTATCTCAATTATTAAATTATTATAGATTCTGTTTTTATGTTTATTTATCATTTCACGGGAAAATTTATGTATTTATTTCTTTTTTTCTATTAGTCTGTTAACATACACTCAATTGTTACATTTTAATAATATATTTACGTTATATTTAATATTTATTCCCGTGTTATGTATCGTAATGTAAATTGATATCATGTATAACGGTTCTAATAACAAGATCTCAGATCGTCACGGTCTTAGTAACAAGACCACCAAGTAGTGATTAGGATCTTAACTCAAAGACCCTAAAGGGCTGAACGCCGACATGACATGTAGAGCCTTGTATGGATTGAATAGTGCGGTTCAAACACCGCGTTCTCGAATAGAAACGGACCCTATAGAATATATAGGATTGAGATTAGAAATAAAACATTTTGTATGACTTCTAATTTATAACGCAGTATTTTTTCAAAATCAAGAAATAAAACTATGTTTTTGTCTACAAAAGTATAATTAAGAAATAAATGAAGGTTGCATAATTAAACTTATTAATTATGCAAATTCTGCAAAGCGCATGCAATCCATTATTAATATGAATCATAAACGAAACTGTAAACTAAAAACATACATATATTTGTCGGTGGATAACAAATAAAATCTTAAAAAACTGGGCGAAGAGTTTTTTAGAAATACCAGATGTAATGAATTTTGCCTTTTTATTACCATATTTTTCGTTCTTTGTTGTATGCAACATAATGCTGACTGTACCAATTTCTGTGTTAATAAAAAGTGCTAGTTCTGTCTTTCATCTGCATGCGTTCTTAAATCAAATATCATCTTTACCGATTAGTTATTCATTATTATCCTCTTCAATTTCTTGTTTCTTATCAAGAAAGTATTCGATAAGGTCCTGGTGTTGCGGGAACGTCTCCTCTAATTCTTTTTTGCAGTGCTCAAACTGCTCTATTTCGTCTAATTCCTTATATGCCTTTGTTTTATATAAGCGGGCTTTGAAGCTCTTCTCATTAAGACGCAAGGCAAGATCACAGTCGGAAAATACCTGAAACACAATTTTCTTAACTTAGTGCATGACTTGTTTGAGTATATTTGATATCGGAGAATATGATGACCTTTATTAAAATGTTTTAGGTTTTCTACGGCGTTGTACGTAACGTATCCATTTTATGATGCTAACGTGATGATGATGGAACAGTAAAGGATGGTGAGCAGGAAATACGCATGACTGCAATCAATTTATTTTATTAATATACAATTTTAACATCTACTTTTCTAAATAGTATTATGTTTAATGGAATCCCCCCCACCGGTGTTCATGGATAACAATTAAACGTCATTGGATAATGCGCTATAATTAATCAACTAATTAAATAAAATTTATTTTCTATCTTATAATTAGTGACATAGGGTATTTACTTCGATATCATATATTAGATTAATTGTAATCTCCATTATATCTTTACGTACCTAATATTTATATAGATACGTATATAATTAATCAAAGATAACATTGCTAATTTCCCTGGAGGTGCATACAATAAAGCCAAATTAAAGATAGCCATGATAAATTTCCATTTCGTAATTGACGTCATTACTAAAAACTAATTTACATTCTTAAGTCCTCATTGATATACGTACATTGACATTGTAATCGGAATTGACAAATCGTTTACTGGTAATTGCCTCGGAAAGTGAGATTTTGTCTGGTTAGTCAACGGAACAATCCGCTTTCTTTTACCGATGTTGTCTCAAAAGCACTAGTTTACCACGAGGCGACATTGCCTTGTCTAGAACTTGTAAGGTGTCGTAGTTTTCCGCAATTCGTAATTGATATTTATGATAGTGTCATCACGATTTTTATACTACAGTCATCTTCGGTAACATTAAATACACACTAAACTTTATTAAAATAATGTTTGTTCTACTTTATTTATGTGGGTACCATCTAAATATAAGCTTGTGGATGTGTATAAAGCCTTTCGAATACTTAAATTTACCATTCGATAACAGTAACTGATTTGGTTATATTCATAACCATAAGTCCATATGGTGTATGATATGATATAATTTTGAATTAACATAAGTGTTCCGTCTCTAAATATTCGTATTAATTTTTAAAAAGTTTTATTTCATTAGCTGCTTGTCCTCAATACAAGTGATCAATTTATAATTATGAATACGCACTTTAATCAATTATTTTCTAACACGAATAGAAACCAATATTTTAATATAACTAATGGTAAAGTAACTGTTGCTAGATTAAATGAAAATAACTCATTTATACAAAATAGGTGGCAAGTAATAAAATTTAAAGCATTTGAAGGTCAATTTGATCAATAAATGTTATCAAACTAAACGATATCAGTTGCTTGTTCCGTGTAATATTTTACTGTGTCGACATACATATTATGTATACTTTGCATTTACCATCTACAACTTCATCTAAATTAATGTAGTCTATCTAGCGCCGTTAAAACATTAAACATGGTGATCTAATATGACCTGCGAAATGACTTTTGTTACAATTGAATAGGTATGAAATTGAAATCGCACAGAATAGATGACAATTGAATATATATGACTATATTAAATGACCATCATCATCATAACAAAAAATTTCCACTGTAGTATGCTGTACTATTCTAAGGTACCACCATACTTGATATGATAGGAAGTGGTGACAATTTGTCTTCCCTATTATTAATATATGCCTATTCTCTTTCTTGTGTATTTATATTAGACCCTAATAAATTAGTGCTAGTCGGTAGTTTGTATTCACACGTTTCTACTTAAAATTGTGAACGATAATTTAAAAGAGCAACACATAAGTTTCTTGCTCATTCTTCTTGTGATGAGACAGTTTTCAGAAAGAGCGGTAGATTAAAAAAAAATTGTGATGACTATTCAAAAGTGCTTAAATTAAGTTTATTTGAATAAAGCATATTCGATTCTATGCATCTCATGTTGGTAGAGTCGGTTTTCCTTATTCTTCCTTTTATATAATAAATTATTTTCCTTGATTATAATAAATAATCCATCATCTTATAATCGTATATACTCGTATTATATCCTCAAATAGCTTTATTAAAGTAATAAAATATATATACTATTTGACAAAAATTATGTGGTCATGATCTTACTTTTATTTGGGTTCGATCGCGTCATAGTCATCCTACTGATAGCGAATCATTAGAGAGGTCACGCTCCTATACCCCACAATGATGATATGATAGAATGATTGTATCAAGGTCCTGTTCAATTTTGCCATTCTGAGCAACATAGAGACAGAAAATTCTTAAAGTCAGTTATAAAGCATATTGAAAGTGTTTCTCTATCTTGTGGGGTTATTAAACAGATAATATAAACGACAATTAATGTTTCTAATCTATTTATGGATATATCAAGTATTTTTAAATTGTATAACGTTATCGAAATGTATCAATAACTAACATAATTTAATAAATTTAAATTTGAATTAATATTTTAAAAAATATATGCATATTAAACTTATGCGATCTCAATAGAAAATATAATATATTTTAAATCTAGCGTATGACACACATTGTGTTGCTATTTAGGTTTCAAAACACTTAAGGTGTAAGCGTGTAGCGTGCAAATTTTTCAACGACTCAATAAACTATAGTTGACACACATAAAAGTACTGTTTGTCTATTGACACTTTATTATATAGACTCAGATAACGCGTTCAAACAGTCAACAAGCGCTCAACGATGCAGAAAGAGGACCTTGACCATAAATAAAGTACCTACTCTCTGTAGGAATGTTACATAGAGCTGGTACAGACTGACTGACTGATCTCAGAATGTTCTAAATGCATAGAGTTACAAATTTGAAATTTTGAATATGGAATTCTATAATGGTGAAGGTACCTACTGTGAAAGAGTTTCTCGAAATTCCGTGGACGCACGTGATAATGGATTCCGCTGTTAACATCGTGGTAAATGGCTATTTATTCTAGTATAGTTGTTCCTATAGATTTCAATGTCATGTATAGTAGGTATTGTCGATGTTTTGTTAAGTGAACAGGTGACTATTATATGTATTTACAAGAATTATTAAATGGACACTAGTGCTGGATGTGTTGTTTGTTTGGGATAGGATAATAATGAATAAAAATTCTAACATATAATCGATCTGCATGTTCTTGTACAGCTTTAGTTCTTGTATATTACTTTACTATTCTTGTCTAGATTAGTCCGATAGCTCAATTGACTTCCGATCAGTTACGGTTTGATGATTTTAATGCATTCTCACATATTCTCACTTATACCTCTGCATTTTAAAGTTTATTTTCAAATTGTACTCTACATCATCCTTTTGAAGGCATGGAAATATTGTTGGTTAATTAGTCATCTCAAGGGCACCCTTGTCATAACACCGGTAGTATGGAAAATATTAAGGTGCCAAATGGAGTATTCATTTTAAATCTAAATTTTAGTATGCTATGATTACGGTCGGATTACAGGATTCATTTGACATTATATATATGCTTAGTGTGTTCTTTTGTACTTATAGTTTCTGTGCGCATTAAACATTTTTTATTATTTTTAATATATTATTATTACTGTTATTATAGTCACTTACCTTTTTAAAATTTCCCAACTTGATATTCGTTAGAGCTCGGTCACAATACAACATAGGGTTATCCCTGACTTGGTCTATCGCGCGGTTGTAGCAAGAGAGAGCTCTATCATATTCACCTCTGCGGAAAGCTTTTATAGCTTGGGTATTTAGTGTATCGGCTTTTTCGCGCCGGATTTTACGATCCAGAGCCCTTTTTTCAGCGTCTTTGCTCATTTCGGCCATCCACGAATCTTTGTCGATCTCATTCTAAAAAACACAACGAACTAATGTTTTTATAGCTATATATGAGATTTAATGAACATCGTAGATTTTCGTCTTTCGCGACAATTACGGTGTAGCGTCTCGTTCTGCTGCGGATGCAGTCAATTATCTCGAAAGGCGAAAACGTGCTACGAATAAATAGCACTAATGCAAAAAGGACTTTGTTTTAAAAATATTAAAGACGGATCTCCTATGAATAAATATTCGATGCCAATACCGTTTTAAAATCTTAATGACGTTAAATCTGTGGTGACTCTAATGTGACTGTATGGTATCACTAATACGCTAATATATTTGTTTGATTCAGATGGCATGTACAAAGGAAATAAAAATCTTTATTAAAATTGTAATATGAATATGTAGGTTGGACATGTGTATCATAAACTTGGAACAGAACCAAGTAACGTTTTTGTCTTTCAAGTAATCAAAATTCATACAGTATCTACCTATTCTAAAAATATTTGCTAAGTAATATAACAATATTTATGATAGAATCATAAAATTTAAGCAATTTGTCATTATAAAAGATCTGTGTAGAGAATTATCATGTATATTAACTATACTTTTATATTAAATTCGAGAATTACACAAAAATAGGATAGTACATGAGAAAATAAAGCTGTGGACAACTAAGAAGTGTCTACACCTTGTAAAATCTAATATATATTACTGTGTTTGAGTTCAAGAATATACTCAAAATTACCTAGAGGAATAGTTGTACTAATGCCATAGACTGTGTATGCCACCAAGACACTTTATTTTGGGTTAGTGTAATTTATAAAAACCAAAAAGGTCAACAAAGCTTAAGTGCGGCCTGTGGTATTTAAAGCCATAGACTGCGATGGGCAGTTACCAAAATACATTATGTATGTTTTATTGTTCTCTTTAATTAAACGTGTGTTTTGCAATGTAAAAACCTATACTGCCGTTAAATGTATATTTTCCTAACAGATTCGCCTTTTTGTGGCATTATCAATTGCATACACACACATTGTTGTGCTATCAATGTTATATACCTATTTACTTCTGTCTGTATAACACTGATGCGTTCAACTGACAGTCAAAAATAAAATGGGTGTACTCCGGAATTTTAATGGGATTGAAAAATTAAGCCTCTTTTATGCAATCGGAGCGCTTTGGAAGTCATGAACGCAATTTTCCAAATGGCTGGCAAATTGAGGTCGGGTGTCAAAAAAGTGTTAATATTTAATTGCGAATATTTAAATCAATGTCATAAAATACTTGCTAAATAAAAGCCGTATGTTGCTTTGTCGGTGATATAACATTCTTTAGCAATGTTACGTGCGTTCGTCAACGCAAATAGAAAGAACAACAAATATAGGTGAACATGAGCGAGATGTTTATTTATAGAGGAACGGGAGCCAAATTGCTTTCACTGATAAAGTGATGATAGTATAGAACAGTGTACACGGCCGTCATTGTATTTATAACTTAAACAATGAGTGTACTCAATCTATGCCGTTGTAGATCATTATTATGCGCGTTATTGCATTTTATTTGGCATTTGATCCATGACGAGTATGTAAAACATGTCTCATTAATATAGGGCTCCCAGTATGACCTACTTATATAGTGATTGTTGTAATCGGTGTTAGAGATTACGTAGTTAAATAGTTATTAAGGGCAGTACTACAAATATTGGTTCTCACTAATAGCACAAATTGATTTGAACAATGCAGTCATTCACGGCAATAAATCTACTACGCCGCAGTCTGCAGATCGAGCATAAAACAGAAATATGCGCAGTAATGTTTATATATTGTGTCGTTTGATTCACGTCAATGGGTACCTACATTATTTATATAATATTCATTATTCTAATCGTATATTAGTTGAAGGTCAATAGATCTTAATTTAACTGGACACTTCTGCATAACAATGCATGTTAATTGCTCACCGCATCTTTATTTTCAATAAACCGGAAAGCTTTGTCATTTATCACTGTCCGGTCGTTCTTTACTTTTAATTGCACATCTTCGTCTATGATTATTTTTCCTTCGAGATATTGGTCTGCTAGATTCTTCGCCGCCTCAGCTTTTTCCTTATCACCGCTGGCCAAATCTTTCACTATATTGGAAACGTCGCCGATTCTTTTCATAAAATTGTTCCATTCTTCATTTAATTCAATTTGGTTATGATCTTTCAAGGCAGGGTTTGACAGTATGCTTCTTAGACTCATGTTGAATATTGAATATTACGATAAATATTATTGAGTATATTGGCAGTGACAGAATGTTTGTTTACTAATTCCTGAAGTATTGATGTAACGGTGTTCATAGCAACCGTTGTCAACATTTTGAATTATTCGGTTTTATAACCATACTTCTTAACATAAAGTTCTGTAATATATTTTATTAAGTAATTTATAACAATGATGAATTTTGGATTTAAAGATTTATTAAAAATATTTTTATAATTTAGTATTTCTATATCTTGTTTGTTATTTAATTAATAAATAGTCGTTTATAATATACCATTCGGTTTAATCATATGAATAATTTTCTCACGATAAATTGTCGTAAACTCTATATTTAAAGAGAAAAAATATATATTCTACAGTTTCTTCGTCGTATCTTTCATAGAGCCCTTACAAAAATAAAAGACGACCCCTCGAAATTAAAGTAGGGGAATACAAGGCCGGCTCGTTTCAAGTATTTCTCACACGTAGTGCGAAATAATAAATTCTTTTGTCATTGAAATATAATTATTATTGTACTGTATATTTGGGGTGTATTTTTATTTACAATATCTTACGATAGTTGACGGCAACAGCTCCGTTAATGCAGAATTTATCGTTGTATTGTGTAAACCGATATTTTTTACTGAGGTAGAGATTGTAAAAAGGTATATGCGTGGGTTACTATCTCACTCATTTCAGCGGCCAAACAGCTTGCTTCGTAAGCTGTGTTCCGTAGAAGAGGAACAAGGCAGTGAAATTACAGGATGTGGAGACATGACATCTATCTTCATGATAATAAAATTATATATATACATATATAGACGATGGTTACCACTTACAATCAGGTGGGCTGTCAATTATTTTTACCATTACAGTTACATAAAGAGTACAATAACCTACCGATCGTAAATGAATTATATTAAACACTACGTACATATTTATTCCTTGACTTTTGGTAATGCGTTTTATCGTTGGTATTTAAACTATATGCAATAGTTCTATTTCATAGAGTACATAAATACATAGGTCTTAGGTGCATTGAATTTGGCAAGGAATGTTTTTATACATGCTTAGTAGTTAGTTAGTGTAATCGGGTATCATCATAAAACCAATCAAACCCACCAAAAATAGACACTAAACAATGTTTCACAATGTCTTGTCTGGATTGCATCTATAATACTGCACTAACATGTACCTACTGCAAGCAAAGTATAATTAAATTATCAAAGTAATTTAGTAAATAGATTTCGTGGCGTGACGTAACGTGAACGTCCATTCAATCACGTCAAGGAACTGAATTTTCCATGAGATCGGAAATATTTGTCTTATAGATAGAGTAAAAATAATAATGACATATTTAACCTTGTGTGTGTGCCTTTTCCCATGTCTGTCCTTCAACCGTTTTCTGTTTTTAACCAATGGTTTTTTGGTATAGAATGCTATGTGGCATTACGCTCGCAATTTGTAATGTATAAAAAAAACGTATTAGGGTCACTAAAAACCGATTAAAATAATATATATACTACTGGTCATTTCTTGATTCAAATTTATATGAGACCCACATGAGAATACCAACATAGATATAAAAAAAGATACATCTAAATTGGTACACGTAGAAAGAAGTTCCGAACTAACACACATAAAAAAAGTACAAATAATTGAGGGCCTCGTTCTTTTTTTAAAATTTCGGTTGAAAAAATGACTTATCTTAAGTGTGTAGTTTGGATTGTATCTATACACATATATTTTTGAGTTTCAACTATGTTTATTTGATGCATGTTAATAAAAAGTATATTGTTTCAGTGTTCACACCACTTGGATTCGTCCGTTTGTTTGGTGTGGTGGGTGGTGTTCTGGTGAAACCACAATTCCTGAGAGATCTCAACGAGGAGTACTATATGTATTCGTTTGAAGAGGATACGATAAAGCGGCGGATAAATAATGCTGTTTCTACAGGTATGACCGTATTAAATAAAAAATAAATATTCGTGCTTTTGATATTCATAAAAGCACTTTTTATTTATTTATTTTATATTATTATTTAAAAAAAAAAATAATAATAAAATAGTATTTATTATAATCTCATATGTATGTTACTTTAATGTGGGCTATAAGTAGTCTGAATAAAACAAAGAAATTAAATAATCCTGGACAATTCACACAGCACTATCTAGTCCCAAACTAAACAGAGCTTGTGTTATGGATACTAGACGACTGATGGAAAGGCATACCTATTTTTTTGTAAATATATTAATTATATACATAGAAAACGCCTAAACTAATACAAACGATTATATCCATCAATACAAATGTTTGTAAATGCTAGACCACCGAGGCCGATAATATTTATTAGTATAGATTAAAATAACTCTCTTTGCTCGATAATATATTTATAGTCTACATATATTGTAAATGTACTGTTTATTACACAATATTTTTGTCTATAGTCTATGGCAGAAGTGCGCTTGATTGAACAATTGTCGACGCCGCATTATTTGCGTAGGTGTGCGTAAATTTACAAGGATCACACTCTAGGTTATTAGAGTAAGGTTTTTTACTTGAGTATAATTGTATTTAAATGAAGAAATATAGGATTTTGTGATAATATGACCAAACCTAGTTCACATATACCATTTCATTAATTCATATTACATTAGAATAAATCAACTATTACTGTTATTATATTATCTATACTAATATTATTAATTCTAATGTGTCTATCTGACTAAACGGCTAAAGGGATCTTAAGAAATGTTATATGAGGAATCTATCCTTATATAAAATTTCTTAAGATCCCTACAACACGAGGACAGACAACATATTTTATCTTAACGAAAGAAAACAAAGTCGCAAGTAACAGCTGACTGACTGTTATTAAGTTAATTATAATGAATATACACAGATTAGAAACTTAAATATAAATAGAGTCTTAAATTATAAAACCATTTGAAACTTTCCGACTGCAATTATTATTATTATGTGATACTTCCTATTACGTGACTCTAATGACCTTAAATCAGCTAACGTTGTAGATTTTACGTGACGGATGTGGTCTTAGTCAATATCGTAAGATGCTAAGTTAAAAATTCTGTACACATTTTGTTTGTTTTTTATATGAATAATGATGGAATAGTACACCTGCCTGTGCTGACGGTATACGCTGACGAGGCACTGAAGGATGACAGGATGAGCACGAGGTCTGACCTGATATGACCTCGTGCTCATCCTGTCATCCTTAGCTGTTACTGTTAGCCCATCGTAGGGATTCATCAGGAATTAAGTGCGATGGTTTTCAAAGGGGACCGCGTGAAGGTCAATATTTATAAATAGTTTATTCTTTTCACTTTTTCACACATTCAAACTTTCGCCCGCTTCTGCATGACTGTCAGTTTGGTTAGCTTCAGTTGAGAAGAATTAGTAAGAAACTAAAGGTATTTAAAATATCAAAAATCCTTTGTCTAAACAAGTGACGCCATGCAAGGTCGTTTATGAAATTATTATTTACAGCGTAATAAAGTTGAGCTTTATTCAATAAGAATTTATTAATAAAAAAATTGTAAATGGCCGATTTGACATGCTGCATTGTTAGCAAAACTATGCCGAAAGACAGGTAGAATACTCATGAATCTGAATCACTTAGTAATAAACGAAGTGGAAATCTGAAAATAAATTTTGAACTTCCATACTAAATTGATCATGTGACCACCATATATGAAGGTTTTAAAAAGAATACTATAATATGTCACTATTTTTGGATTAGTTTTACACCATTTACAACTTCGTCGAAAAATAAATCGCCCTGTATTCTCTTGTATAGTTTTTCGAGCTGTACTTACTTGGGAGGATGTTATCTTGCATACTCTCTTCCCAAGCCTCGTCCTTTAAGGCTATTATGTCTGAAATAAGTGATGATGACATATCTTACCTTTCTTTCATCACCGCACAGAGAGATATGACGTACAATGGCATGCCGACAAATATCACCAGCGGCGTACATGTGTTTTTAATCCCACGCACCTATATTATTCGTTGGTGTAAGTAAATAGTGTGAAAGTCTATTGTCATGAAGTACCAACTGATTGGAAATGTTAGTAATATTAATCATGTTTCAGTGATCCCTATATTACTATATAGTGTGAAGTTTATAGAACTGTTTGTTATAAAATCAGAGGTATATAGTTATCTATGTAATTTAGGTCTTAATAATATGTAGTGTAGTAGGTACAGATTCAATTGACAAGTAGTAGCAACTCTTTTGTTATTTTTTCAAATATGCAGAAAGAATATTCATAAAAAGTCAGGTAAAATCCTCTTGACACTGAACCAATTTTGGAGAGAACATAATGGAGATCTAAAAGTAAATTCAGACTTTTTCATACTACATTGATATCGTGACCACGCCAGTTTATACTAGTATGAAACCACTGAAAGCCAGTAATAATATATACTTAAGTATATATTATTACTTATTATATACTTTCAGTTTGGTATATAAAATTTATGCTTTTTTTTCATTTATTTATCATCTAATTACATACGTATATTATTAGTACAAAAACGTACAATGTCTATTATTACAATTTGTTAAAGGAGTTCAATTCATCAGATAATTATGCAGGCCAAGTTCGAATACTACTGTCTTATCATATTGAAAGTCAAGTGACATCGTATTCTAACGAATTGTGGGACTGTTTGTAGATTTTATACGAATATTGTAGAAATTTCTAGAATAGAATTGTTACGTTACACGACTTGCATTCTTAAAGTACCTATATCGAAATGTACTAGAATTTCCGGTTATACTGCTACTGATTCATTAGGTTGTGTACATGATTTGGAAATCCATTGCATACATTTTAATCCTTACTCCTTACTAATATTATTATTGCTAAAGTAACTTTGTCTGTTACTTATATTATAAATGCGATAGTCTATCTGTCTGTCGCGCGTTTGATGTCAAAACTACTGAATCGATTTAAATAAAATTTGTTACACAGATAGTCTAGACCCTGCGAAAGGACATAGACTTCAGTTTAATTTTACACCCGTGATACCACTCATGCTCTCTGTTGCCATTCAGAGGACTAAGATGTCATGATTCTTATCCTGTAATTTTAAAATGGTTTCTTATGATATATATAATAATCATGATAATGCATAATTGCAGTTCTGGTCTATTCTATACGGAAAACAGGAAAACAATCGCTATAAATTCCTGGTCAATTTGCCACGATGAGCCAACTGGTCATGCTCACATTATCATCCTCCACTGGTGCCTCGCCAGCGTAAACCGTCAGCGCAGGCAGCGGAGCACCATTCCATTAAAGATCTGTTTTATTTTATTTAATATAAAACAGATTTTTTACATATAAATTCCTTATTATATAAAGAGCTGTATCGACTTATGTCCCATATTTTGTTCAACAGGTGTTGGGTACATAACCCCCGAGCCCATGTACCCTGACCGCGGGGATATTTCGTTTCCCGTGGACGCTGACACGTCCCTTTTAAAAGACGTGAGCGATTCAGTACTGCAGGGCAAGGAGACACCTTTGCTGCGGTTGAGAAATGGAGCGCTGCAGGCCGGACTTACGGACAGGTTGGCGAGGGTCGTCACTTTAAGAAAGGTCAGTTATAAATCCAGGTAGACTATGTACAAAATCTGTTTCACCTATTTTTTAAGGATGAATATAGAATTTGTGCACTCTTCTAAGTTAATGATATACGCTCGCGGGGCACCGGTAGACAATAATAGTATGAGCGTGAAGTGAGAACAGTTAGCCCATCATGATTTACCACAATTGTTTTCTGGAGGGAAGGTCAAACTGACATGTACATGGCTAACATGGGACCACTAGTTCCCATTATTGACAATTCTCTCCTTTCCAAAAAAGATTCGTCCTTCTAAAAGGACTTTATACAAAGTCATATGCGAAGTTACCTCTATCTCACTTATTTCACCTGCTACTTATCGTGATGTTCTGACGTGAAGATAATAGTTTAGTTTATAACATAGAATATTGACGCTTTTCAAATAACTAGTGGTCGTGATGGTCGAAATTCGTTCATAATCAATTTAAATTATTATTATATATTGTTTATTGTCAAGACTATACTTCTATGCATGTGTGCGTCAAATATAATAAAACTATAACATTCTGCTCTCAGTATAAATGTGTGTGCGAAAATTAATACTCCTCCATCCGCACAATCTTCATAAAAAAACGGTACAAAATTTTTGTTTTACGTATTAATACAGTGTTTCTTACGAAACTTTAAATTCTACTAAGACCGTATATGACCGCATGTTCGATTCTATAAATGCTTGTTATTGTACAATCAATTAAGGCGGACGCTTTCGTAATTTTTAATCATAACATATCTAACATATAGGAGTGTCTTATGTACAAGATCGTTGGCACATTTCGTGCAGTGTGATTAATTATTCCACGCGGCAATCTTGGCATTACTTTCCGTTTCATGTGGCTAGCGCACATAAACATTAGACTATACTAATATTATAAGTATAGAATAGAAATATCTCTTTTGAAACACTCTATCCTGTGGAGATAAAAACCATCGATCCTAATGTCCTTCAATTGTTGTCTCTCGCGGATCTAATTTGTCGGTTTCTCTGTCTGTTACCTTATCACGGCTATAGACTCTATAAAAAAATATGGCATAAAAATCGTACAATAGAACGAATAATAAAACGCTCTAATTGAATTTGACATGAAGACGGATTCTTATCACGAGGTCATATGTAGTTGCTATCTAAGGTTATATGTATAGGCTATCTTTTATCTAAAAAAAAAAGGCAGATTAAGTCGCGGGTAACACCTAGTTGCAGATAAATCAGAAGTATAACTTGTCATTTAAGTACAGTGTATGTTTATATTAGCATTAAGACCGTATCAATATAGAAATGTTTGTTATATCAATGATGTGTTGTATATGCAAATAGAGATAACGTTTTCGTTTAAGTTAATTTAGTTACGCTCTGAAAACTAGCGATAAGTTGTATTGTATAAATATTTTAAAATATTCACGTTACTTACGGTAACGTGTTTATACATTTATTCCCTTCATTTGATAATAGCATAGATTAAAAAAATTATATAATAATAAACCAAATTCAGCATCACTTTCTAAGATTGTTATTTTTTTTATTATAAACGCGTTTGCGCTTGGACTTTCCTCAACTGATATAAAATTATAGCAATACCTAGGATGTAGCGCTATAGACGTAAGAATTTTATTCACCATAGACTTGATGAATCCGGGCTTGTTTTTCTCTGGAAACACGGAAGCTGGAAGTGTGTTCAATTCTTTAGCAGTGCGTATTAGAATGTATGTATACTCCCAGTCCAGTCCCAAACGTCTATATTTCAATCACCTGTAACAATTATTACTTATGTCAGGTGTAATACGCAATAACTGCTACAATATAGGTACCTACACACCATGTTTTCCCCTTAATTATTAAAGGAAAAACATGGTGTCACAATATGAAAACATTATGCTCCTATTTCGATTAAAGGGAAAACCTAAACAAATGTATATAGGTAAGTAAGTTTTAAAGTATTAAATGTGTATAATGACATATGATAGCTATATGAGATAGTGTACAATAAAATATACTGAACAATTTTTTTAAATGTTAAATTCAATGACGAAAGTCAAATTCGAATTAAAGAATAAAATAATTTCTTTGTAAGAAAATGTCTAGTCTAATCCAATAATCTTTAAATTGTTTACATTGATAATCAATTGCCTTTTTGAATGCTCTGCTGCCACTCATCAAATCATAAACTAGTTACTTTTCTTAGATAGATAGAATATTCTAAAGAATCTATCTAAGTTGCAATATATAGTAAGCACACAAATACATATTAGTTACACATGTATAATTTCAAGAAGGCGGCCTTATTTGCTGAAAGCAATTTTCAATCAATTTTCTTAGCACTTGTTTTCTGAATATAGGTACCGTGACCTTGCACGTAATATGAACGTATTTGCGTGCACCCACATGCCTGCTTCTTGTCGTCATCTCTTTCCTGATAACAATAATGTTATTTTAAAATAAACACGCGAGAGTAGGCCAATAAACTGAGCTGACGACATTTCACACGTTTAACAGAAAAGCGTGCCGTACCAACGTCAATAGTGTTCCGTAGTTAGTTAACAATATTTGTTTTAAAAATACACTTTTTTTCTTTCGCGTAACAATTCCATAAATCATGATCTATAGTATAAATGAATAACTATTATTTGCCTATCTACTACCAATTTCACATCTTTTTATATTCTTGAATTTACTTAACGTTTTAATTATATACGTCCTGATTATTTAAAGTACTGACTGACTTTCTTATTGATTTACATGGTTTAGTATTAGTTACATTTTAAAATAATAGTACAAAACAAACTAGCTAGATTGGTTCCATATCGATATTAAGATGATACTCAACATTAGTGAATTGGTAAATATGTAGTCTATTGTTAATTGTACACAATAAGAATATTATTATCATTATTATTATCTTATATATAAAAATCCCGTGTCACAATGTTAGTTACCATACTCCTCCCAAACGGCTTGACCGATTTTTATGAAATTTTATATGTATATTCTGTAGGTCTGAGAATCGGCTACTATCTATTCTTCATACCCCTAAGTGATAAGGGTTGTCCACCCCTAACATTATTTTTTTATTTTTTGGGCGATTTTATTTATAATGTGGCATTAAAAATAAATGCAACACCAAATTTTCACCCTTCTACCGTCAACCCCTATTTTATTATAGCGTTATTAATTTATATGGCAAAACAACGTTTGCCGGGATAGCTAGTATAGTATAAAACAAAGTCGCTGTAGCTGTCTCTCCTTCCCTATGTATGCTTAAATCTTTATAACTATGCAATGAATTTTGATGTGGTTATTTTAATAGATAGAGTGATTCAAGAGGAAGGTTTATATATATAATACGTGTGCACACCCGTGCGAAGCCGGAGGGAGCAGGTATATAATATTCTTGTATATAATATTCTATATACGTATATATATTATAGTTTAAAAATGGCATAGCAGCATTGGAAGATCTGAAATATCGTGGATTAGGTCAATGTCTATTTTTGTACTATCAATTGATTATGCAATTACGCTCTCAAGACCACGTTTGACCTTTCCGATTCGTATTAAGTCATTATCTATATTGGAATTAAAATCATTACATACTTACGTAGATTGCTACCTAAAAAATATTTTGTGTCGCCCACATATTCTCAAGACAGTAATCAAAGCATAGAAATAATCATTATTTAAGTAAATTAAATATAAACGCTTTTGAACAGTCATAAATATTTTTTTTATTATACGTCTCATTCGGAAAGTACGAAACTTGCGTGATACTCTTTTAAACAAATGTTGTTCTTTATTACATATTTAAAATTTGGTGTCAATACAAACTTCCAAATAGCAAGATTGAAAAAAGAAATGAAATAATCCTTTTACGCTGTTAAAAAATTGGTACCTACTTAGCGTACGTAGCGAATTAATTGATTCTTTACGTCAACATAATAATTAATTATAAATATTTAATTAATATAAATAAAAGTCTACAATTGATGTATTATATAGTATTCATCAAGAATATAATTTACGTGTTTTAATTTAAATCCTTTAATGCCGTTAATCCTTTAATAAGGTTAGGATTAACTGTGTATTAAACATATTAACATGTTTACAAATATTCAAATTTATAATATTATTATAAATACTAACAACCCGCTCCGTCTTCGTACAAGTACAATTATTGTTATCTTATTTTAGGAGTATCAAGTAATTTAAGAGTTTATACGTTATACAAATAAAAATTTATACCCTCTCTTTATTTTCTTCTCCTTACAACCTTATTCGGTATAGATTTACTACTATAGAAATTTAATTTAATGTGTCGTATTACTGATTATCAATTTTTATTATTGTTATTATAAAAGGGATTTATAAAGGTGATAATAGAGTAGAGCATTTATTTGCACTTACGGTTTACGCTGGCGGGGGTCTACGTTATATTGTCTATGAGTTTCTTGTCAGTTCTTTTCAGCTCGAAATCACACAGATATGACGGTAGATTTCAGATATCATAAGAATCTGTAATAGACCTACACGGGTAAAGATATTTTGATTTGATATGTATTTTATTTGATACGTATGCATTTATATATTTCTATGCGTTGTTCAATACCATTTTTATTTGTATGGTTAATTTTGGACTAAATAACACTTTGTGAAATTATATATTAACTATTATAATTATAAATCAATTATGAAATATTGTTTGCGCTAGAAAAATTCTTTTGAGGTTGGTTAGGAGGAAGGCTTTATCACCTCATGCTATGACTAAGTACTCAGAAATAAAAAAAATATTAGTTGTTAATATTGTAATGAAGATCAACAAGCTGACATTAATTAATATCAATATTATAAAGATGTAGAGGCGCCTATGTCCAGCAGTGGGCTAACGATGATGATAAAGATATTTTTGCATGTCGAATAGACTGAATATTAGGGCTACGAACAACAAATACAAGTATAATTACCACATTCATTGTAATACTAATTTCATTTCAAAAACAGGGGAAAATTGATACAGAATAAGCTGCGCGTGTCATATAGTTATTATTATATGCTTTTTCAGGAGGTTGAGAGTCAAAGGAAGACGTCGTCCCTGCAACGCAACGTGGTGTACCCTCTGGCGATGCTCCTGCTGCTAGCACTCACCACCATCACGGTGCTAATGGTGCTGCAGAATATTCTAGAACTGTTGATTGGAATTAAAGCGTTGCCACTTAGCACACGGGTGAGTATCGCATACAGAAACATTTATCAAGTTTCCCTTATTAATCGGGTCTTAATGTGAATAAACTTGTGGTCGTGGCTAGTGCAACCTAGTCGTATCGTTGAGAGACATAAATATTTACCATAAAATTATTCGTGTTAAGACCCAATTATTCGAGTAACTGTTTTTATAATGTGTACTAAACGCGAAAGTTTAAAAATTAGTTACCCTTAATTGTTAATTTGTTGTTTGTACTTCTTTATTGACGACCTCGGTGGTCTAGTGGTCTAGCACACCGTTTTACGACCGATGGTCGCGGGTTCGATTCCTCGCACGGCACAAAAATTTGTTTGTCATGAGTATGATTGTTTGTATCGGTCTGGGTGTTTTCTATGTATAATATGTATGTATTTACAAAAAAAAAAATATAAAGTATATGTATCAGTTATCTAGTACCCATGTACTACAAATTATACATAGAAAACACCCAGACCGATACAACACAAGCTTTAGCTAGCTTAATTTGGGTCTAGATGGCGCTGTGTGAATTGTCCTGAGATTATTATTTATTGTATAGTATAAATGTGGGATATAAGATATAGACTTAAGAAATTTCCACTCTAATTAAGGTATTTTATCTAATCCATCTTTCAGTGCTTCAGAGAAATTATACTTTAATTTCTCTGAAGCACTGAAAGATGGATTAAAATATTTTAAAATAATTATTGTAATTTAGTAATATTTTTAATTAAGTAAAAACTTTTAGTTTTATTAATGAAGTCATTTTATTAGTTTATTTACTAAATAACATTAGTATTCAATACCAATAATAAATCAATGTATTTGGTCATGACTGATGTCATTACTGCAAAATCGAATAGAATCTTTTACTACGCTCTCTGAATCCGGTAGTAGAGACGCCGATAGCCACGAAGCGGATTTTAGTACTATCAAACTGCAATGCGATAAAATTTATATCAAATATATCTTGTTTATGTATTTACATGGCGACGGTTAGGACTTAACATAAGGGTCATTACGATATCGCTATATGTTAGCGTCAGTGGAGAATAATAGGATGTGCATGATGTTAGAGCACTTTACCCCATCGTGACGAATTCACCAGAAATTTAGGTGTATCAAATGTACCAAATCAGGCCAAACGTGGAGGTTGGCCTGACTTGGTACATTGCTAGCTATGGGACTACTAGTTCCTATTGTAACAGAACAGGGACTGTTCTGTCCCGGGGGGAAAGGGGATTGCTAGTAATGTAGTAAATAACCCCATTGCTAGTAATGTACCATGTCAGGTTGACCTCCACGCGGTTCCCCCTGGAAACCATCGTGGTAAATTGCTATTTGCCAAATTGAACTATCTGAGCTGACTTTATGCTCATTTTATCAGCCTCCACTGGAGCCCTGCTAGCGTAAACCATTAGCGCAGGCCGGTGCATCATTCCATTATCATCCATTAAAAAAAATGTACCATGTCAGGTGCACCTCTTATGACCTCTTGAGCATAAAGTCAGGTTAGTTAACCCCATCATGATAAAGTTCGGTGGGAACCGCGTGGTGGTCAACTTGACACGGTGCATTTCTAGCAGTGGGGTTATTTACTACATTACTAGCAATCCACATTACTAATAATCCCCTTCCCTCATTAAAATAACGTTGTACCTTGGGCCATAGCAATTCTCCCTGGGCATCGCATCGCTATCGAAGCTGGGGTGGGCAGGAGCGACCCTGGAAGCGGGGCTGATCCTGTACCTGTCGGCGGCATCGCTCACAGGGCTGAGTGCGCCCATACGCGCTGCCAGATTATTGCCGCGCGCGCGCCGCACGCCTCTTGCGCGCATCATCGCACTCTGCGCGCTCCTACTCATGCACTCCACCGCACAGCCGCTCCTCGTCAAGATATTAGGTTTGTTGTTTTTTATATGTTAAGACGCTGAGAGGTATCTAATGAAATTACAGTTATAAAACTAGCTGTTTACCACCGAATTAATCTGCTTTTTTGATATGCAAAGAAATAAACAGTTACAATATTACAGTCCCAATATATCTTCACGTGAAATTTTGAGGATCTGTTCAGTCGTTTATTCGTGAAAAGGTAACAAACAGTTTCGCATTTATAATATACTAATATTATGTACTACTGATATATGTTTAGTAAGAAAAAGTAATCAACTCTAGTTAAGTATACAACATTTCAATTAAAGGATCCCAGATCCAAATATCATTTTTAATGTATTTATTAAATTTGTAACGTGTGGTGATCAAACATACAGTATTCAAATTGTGAATCTGTTTTTTTTTATTTGGTTGAACAACAAATAAACTGTGTATACCTAAACAATCTATTGCAATTGGATATGTGTTTCCATCAACGTTGCGTATATTTAAAACATTATCTATATTTTGATAGGTATAACAAATTTCGATTTACTGGGCGAGTTCGGCCGCATCGAGTGGCTGGGCAGCTTCAAGTTGGTGGTGGTGTACAACGCCACGTTTGCCGCGACCGTCACGCTCTGTCTCGTCAGCAAGTTCACGGCTAGCGTCCGCCGCGAACTGTACAACAGGTTGGTCGAAAACGTCAACACAGTCGCGCATTGCGTGTCTTTCCTCAATAACTGAGTACGCAACGGTAAACTGTCGATCTGCCAAATATATATGCTCAATTGTAACAAATGTCTTTGTTCGATCGTATGTTACGATATTACAAGTTCAGTTGTTATCAGTGGACGTCGGGACAAGGACATTACATGCGATAATATGGATACAACTTAATTAAGAACAATATTTTGACATTAGGATATCATTAAACTTGACATTGACATTAAAATTAAAAAAATAGCAATATCTAAATATTATGCATTTATTAGGTTTAAATTAAAAGTAGATAGGTACGTAGTTTTTTAGGTTTCCAATAATAATATCATAAATATATTTACGTAGTTAAAATGTCTATATATAATAATCTTTAAAAATAATTCAGTATTATTACTTGTAACTATCAATTATGAATATATATATTGTTTCATAATTTTACACATTTACCTATTAATTGCTGAATATAACCTTTGCTAATTAAAATAATATACCGTCATATACCCATGACCTAGCCGCCTCTTACTTAATCCTGGAGGTGAAAGGAGTAGTGGAGTACTAACAGTCTTGCTATTAGCTGTTTCATTAATAATAAACTGTATATGCACCATAAATTTATGATGAGATTGATAAACATTTAAGTTAGTACTAGCAACGTCATATCAATTCAACAATAATGTGTGTTAATTTTAAAGGTGTATCCATAGTATTTACATGTCATATTCTTGCCCAGCTGAACTCAGAGTAACATAATAATAGAAACAATATTAAGTTTCTATCCTATTCTCTGTGTCAGTCTTGATATAAAGTCATTGTATAAGGCAAATGAGCCTTAAATACTTATTTTACACTATACAAGTAATTGTAAAAGTATTATTTACGTTATTTCTTGCAGATTAGAATGAATTCTACGAATGAATGGGATGTATGAACTTTACATATGTTTTTATATGAATAAGTTATTACAAAATGTATGTTAGTAATACAGTGTGTGTAACAGATCATTAAATATTTAAGGCTGAGGTAAAACAAGTATTAGGTATCTTACGTTGCCCATAACTTTTCATATATTTAGTTATTTTTAGCGTTTACATAATGAGAACTGAATAAACTGAATAAATAACTATTTGGTTCTTTTGTTTGCTAATGTACAATATTTGGCAGATTCAGTTACTTCATATGTGTCATGAATTAAAAATTAGTGATATGAATTCATAAAAAAATGAAATGATAGATGGTACAGTTAACAGCAATAAATTAGAATTGTATACTGTAAAAGAATTGTCAACATTTACTATTTTAAAAATAAGGGTTGAATACCAATAATAATTTGTTTACAAGTACATATTGGATTTCTATAGTGGCCTAGTTTACAAGCTGCTGGAATTGTAGTTATTTTTATAAATTGAATTCAAGTAATAATATGTAAAATTATTATTTACCATAATGTACTTATGTGGTATCTTTGTTATTGTTATTAATTTATATATTTAACAATTTTACTTTTATCGTAAAAGTATAATAAAAATAGTAAAAACAAAAATTTGTTAATATAAATATAATAAAATTGTAATCAAATTAGAATAATACAGAATGCATTTATATTGTTTCCCTTATTAGTTATAATTATTAATTATTATTTATCAATTGACAATTCCTAATTGTTGTGTCATAAAAATAATGTTATGTATTAGTGAAGGTTCTTGAGGAAAGACTCATTATCATTAGAGATAAAATTTAAATTATTTTACGACTAATGAGACTGAATTTGTTAATGTTACTATTAGGATCAAAATATTATTTATTTTATTAATTGTATGAGATTGGTAATTTTAATTCGAAATAGTTTGTATTTGAGAAAACCAAATGCCATGACATTAATTCTTGTGATGTCCTATTGTAAACATATTGTGAATTTCAAATGACAAAACCACATTTGTTTTTACCTGTATCTATTATTGAGGCACAGATAACATATTACTATGAAATATAAAATGGTAAATGTATAGTAGTAATACAAGCAACATGATTATAGTTGTTGATGATCTTATTTCACCACAAAAGACATAGCAAGACTGTTTTTAACCTAAAATAATGTAGAGGTAGAAGAATATTGTATGTATGGTGTTCATTAGAGTTCCAGTTCGACCTGCATTTATGAGAACAAACTGCAATCCATTTGTTCTTTGTGGTTTGAGGCTAATTTACTTATTTTCTAGTCGTAATAGTTCTCATACAGTTTTGTAACTCATTTTATGGGATTTGAATATTATATGTATTCAAAATTAATGAACAATTAACTGTTTATAATAAATTCGTCTGCTATCATTACTAATGTGCACATAACACTATTTCTATTATAAACATGCATGTAGGTCTGTTAGAATGTTCTACTTAATATATAGTTTTCTTAGAGATGTTAATATGGTTGGCCATATGGTGCTATCGGTGACATATTATATCATGACAGTTAGGTTAGATACAATGTATGATGTATAAATATGTTCTGATTAGTACCTAGACCTAAAATGTAGGTATGGCTTGTATTCTGTGTGAATATTTTGTTTGTGAGCGAAAAATTATTCTGTGTGCGGATTTTATACATTTTATATTAACTTGTACTAAATGTTGAGATTGCATTTGAAATAATATATATAAAAATTCAATCAGAGCTTTTTATTTCTATCCTTCACATGTAAATCATACTATGTTTTTTTATAATGTTATGAAGATTAGACTACACATTATTTGCACGAAAGCAAAACATATTTTTTTTATTGTCTTTTGTATATAATAAAACATGCTTCAAATGTTAGTACAGCTTGCCTTTTCATCATCAGCTTACTAATTACATTGCTTGTTTAACTTTTGTTTTATTCTATTATAATTCCACAAACCTGTATTCAGTCTCATTAGTATTTAAATGAGTATTATTTAATATGTTAATAATTTTATTTTTTCCATTTAGATTCAAGTGGATAATGGATGTTTTCGTAATTGAAGATAAGACTCCAGTAAATGTATCACTCATAGGCGGCAGAGCATCAGTTGAGAAAATACTTAATGGTGAGAAGACAGAACACAAAGACAAGATAGAGCAGCATTTAAAATCAGAATAAGGTAGCATCTAAATATCTCAATGGTGACATAAGACAAATATTGTGATAATGATGTATTATGGTTATGTATATTTGTAAGTGCCCATTTTAATTAATAATGATGCCATTTTTTAAAAGTGCCTTTGTGAATGGCTACATATTACATATAATAAAATGTATATAAAGTAATTATTGCCAGTTTTTTATCTGTGATTTTCATTTTGTATGTTTTTTATCATAAGTAAATATTTATATTAATGTAATGAATTAGTTTTTATATTTAAATAAATAATAAAAAGTGATTTATTATTTAGATATTTTATTGTCACATTCTTTTATTTCAATATAGTGTTTACCACTTCGCCTCCCCATTGATTTAAGGATTAAACTTCTAGCATTGTTCCTTAATACCTCCAGGCTTTCATTACTATTCAAACCCAAAAGAAATCCTATATTAATGACATCATGAACATGTCGAACATGGATAGGGTTGTCAGCACCACTACTTATAATTATATTTTTTGATTTGCCAATAGCATGATACATGTGTGCTGTACTGATTATATTCTTCCTAGAAGTTGCATCACGGATAGCCGGTGAGTACATGAGTTCAAAGAATATACCTCTTTCTGTAGCCTGTCTGTACAACTTACGGTTTATTTTGAAAGGTATTTTACTTTCTGGTTGAAAAGTGATTATATCAATGTCCATAGTGCCACATGCATACTGAAATGCTTGTAATGTTTTTGGTATCACAGCAATAATATCGTACTTTTTCAGATTCTCTGACTGATTCATCTTATGAGATATACTTGAGTCCGAAAACTCGAGTGTCAATCTTTGGAGAATGTTCAATTTTGTGTTGTCTTGTATATCTTTTGGGATGTCAATAGGCGAAGGTATAGAATCTTTCTTTTCTTTCAAGTCTCCTTTTTTTCTCTTTTTCTTAGGTTCGTCACTAGTTTCTTCCACAACAGTATTTATTGCTATTGTATTATATTCCAGTTTTTGTATCGTATCTAATTTAGAAAGTTCATAAGTATTATTTACAGATAAATCGCAAAATCCCCAATTACGACAAGCCATGATAATTACATTAATTTTGTATTATAACTAAAGTTTTTAAACTAAACAACAGTAATTAAAAGAAATAACCATAAAATTGCAATAAAATACAAACGTGAGTATATTGACAAGCAACAACAGCCGGTGTTATTTGGATTGACAGCTACATATGTTGACATTGACATCACTCGACTTTACGGCTTGACAGTTCGTTCAAAAACAATTTGTTTTAACTTCGTACATATAAAGACATCGATTATTCAACCACTCGATTGTTGGTTTAATAGTAGTTATTCGTAAAAATTATTCAGTGATTCATTGAAAGTTGAAATATAACTGCAACTTTAAATTTTTAAATAATAAGAATGCTTAAATAATCTTACGTGTGCTGGTTATATTTTTAACCTTTTATTATATTTTTAGAATACGATTACTTAGTGTAATTAGCTTAGTAATTAAATTTAAGTTTAGCAAAATTAGCTGTAGTAACGAAATCGTTGATTACATCTATGATAACCTTCTAATTTTGTTTTAAATGAATACTAAAAAGGAGCAAACATGTAGAGTGTTTTGAACTAATAAACCAAATTTAATACTCTGTGATAAAATGGCATTAGAAATGACTAAAAAACGACGATTAATGTATGAATGTGAAAAAAACTGTCATTTTAAATGGCCACGTTCACCTTCTCTCAAGTTTTTTATAAATGATTATTATAAATAATATCGAAATATATTTTTAACAATTAGAACTAAAATGGTTGTACGAATTATAATTGCTGGAGAGTCGCAGTGTATTATATTTGCGGAAGTTTGTTTAGTAGCTGACCATCTCAAAAAAAATCTACCAAACTTTTGTTATGAACGTATAGAAAAACCTATATTGGAATGGAACGTAAGTAATAATATTTTGTGCTCAATTTGTTTTAAATCGATAGTTAAATACCTACCCGTACATGTATTTAGTTTCACTATAAACTGATGTCGTCACTCTGGTTACAATTTTTTATTGAAATCTATTGGACCGACATTGTCTAATATTTTGTCATTACAATTATTGTATTAATACTTTATGTAAAATTGTGTATAGATGTGGTTGTGCAAGATAAATCAAAAAAATAAATGGCATCATAAAGGATCCCCTTTGATCTGGAAAGAGTTGTTTTCTAAAGGTAGTAAACCACACTATATAGGTGGATCTTCAGAATTTCTTGATTACTGTCATTCTTATTATAAATTTGATGTTTTGCTTGCTTCGGAAAAAATTGAAACCTTAATAAAGAGTTATAAATCATATCAGACAAAATTAAAAAGTGATAGAAAGAGTGTTAAGCGTATTTTAGAGACCACAGAAGAAATTAGAGAGCAGCCTAAAACAAATTTTGTGGTATGTATATCAGGGGCTAGATATCCTTTAACTATGCATTTAATATCAGGACTATTAGATATGTCTCAAGGAGAAAAAACTATTTATAAAATTTATATATACGATGAAGAATGTACTAAAGGTTTTATGGAATTCATAGAGCAAGAATGCAGTTACATTAGTACTAATCATCCTGGAAAAGTTGTTAAATACATAGAAAAAGTTGGCGTAGCTTTAACTCATTCGGATTTATTTATCATTTTGGATCATGTACCATTTCAGTAAGTATTGTGGAATTATTTATTATAAAATAGTTCTTTAATCAAAAAGTTAATAGATATAATTTCACAGGGTAGAATCGTCTATTGGAGATTGGATTCAAGCCAATAAGAAACTAATGGAAAATATGGCATTGAAAATAAACGCTTCTGCTTCACAAAAAATGTGCATTCTTCTACCTAATTTAGGTCCAGCGTGTTATAATGCTACAGTTTTAATGAATTCAGTTACTTATATAAATAAAAACAATATTGTTGTGGCAACATCTGACCTTGGATTGGAAATATCATCAATACTAGCAGAAATAGCTGAAGTTTCAATGAGAACTATTTTTTGTCCACCCGTTTGGGGATTTGTGGGTATTAACCATTTAGTGGATATTAGAACAACTGTTCATAAGTATGACTCTTTTACACCATACGATAGATATATAAAAGTAAAGAAATCTAGTTTGACCATCGGTTCGCTTACACCAGAAATGCGCACAATGCAATATTTGGTGCATTTTGATAAGTCTCTATGGATAAAACACGTTGAAAAAAAGGTCAGTTTTATTTTAATGGATAAACAGTGTTCCGGACCACCGCTTAAAGATTATGTATAGTCATAGATTGTAGAAATTGTTCCGGACCACCGCTTAAAGATTATGTATAGTCATAGATTGTAGAAATAAGTCGATTAGATATAGCAAATTTATACATAGTACAATTGTTACATAGTAACACCTTAAGAATAATAGATTTGATAGGGATAAGTTTATAGAGATTTAAGTACTTTATGTTATTATTTACGAAAATGCTTGGATATATAGGATAAGATGACAAATAAATGATTATAATGGTTGTGGTTTCAATCCCCTAAAAATAAATAGGTCGGCAAATAGAAACAGAATAGAATATAGTATAAAAAATAGATCCCAAAATACATAGGGATCTTTTTATAGTATCATTTCATTTATAGATATGTAATAATAATTGTAATGTGCGTTGCGCGGCAGCATTCGTTCGACTGACGCGCGACCTCACTCTCCCGCGCTATATATATATGAGGGGGAAGGGGAGCGAGGTCATATAAAAGGCACGATCCGCGAAATCGCGAATTATTCCTAAACCGCACGTCACGCAGCGCACACATCATAATAAAAATGTAAATTAAAGATGATATTGTCGTTTGATGCACAAATTGTAAGCATAAATTATAAGATTGTTAAAATATAATAAAAATTGTATAAAGGGGTGAGGAGAATAGGGCGGCCAAGGGTCCGCTGGCTAGTAGCAAAAAATCGTATATAAGTAGCGTCCAAAAGCGCTACAATTCATAGCGAATCTGACCTCAGAATAGCGAAATTGATCTCTGAATAGCGAAATAGATCTCAGAATAGCGAATCTGACCTCGATTAGCGAATAGCGAACTCGACTTCTGAATAGAGAAATCAACCACTGAAGAAATTCTCCTCGCCTCTGCATTCTGAACCACAAGAACCGTTTTCTCATTTACTGCCCGTCCATCATCGCCATCGTCAAGCATAGTCGTCACAACCCTTTTCACGCATCGTGTCATCGCATCGTGTCACCGTCGCATCAGCATCGTGTAAACGTCCTTCTCAGGACGAATCATCGTGGTGCCTATAAAGAGGCACCTGGTCCTTCACCCGCAACGCGCCCGCGGCGTTGATTGAGGCCCTTCAGGTAGGGAGTGCTTTGAAAAGGGCACTCTCTCACCTCGAGGAGGATAGATTGACGTCCGGGCGTACCAGCGACTCGGTGCCTGCCGACGCGCCTTCCGACTCCCGGGGGCAGCGGCCAGCACATCTGCTGGTCCTTCGAGCCGGATCAAGAAGAATAGAAGATGCCCGTCACACGAAGCAGAACTGGCAAAATGCAAGAGGAGAAGACAGAAGAGCATCAAACAGATGCAGAACAGGTCCCAGACCCACCGCGGAGGGAAAACCCGTTCCCTATTCGACATAGCATACCGCCGAGGTCGCCACAAGGGACACAAGACGTCGAAGAAACCGTCGTTCAACAAACAACGGCGCGATCACAGCTCTCCGATAGAGAAAAGGAGAGACGGCAACAAATCGCTATCGCCCGAGAAGAGGTCATTCGCTATCGATTACAGTTGGCGGAGGCCAAGCTAGCCCGACTGGAAGCCTTCGGAGAAGAAGACGAAGAACCGTCGGAACCAGCATCGCAAGACGGCCACAATAGGGTCGTCGAATGGCTCGGGCAGCAGTCCGAGCCACCACCACCTCCACCAGAAGCACCACCGAATCCACCGAAGAGGCCCACACCGGCGAGAATAGAGGAGCCGCTTCGGGGTACCATAGAAACTCACCAACGATTGGCACCCACAGACACCATTCAAGTTGGTGATCTCGCAACTGCAGTAACCGAAATCGTCAGGGCGACTACATCGTCGCTAGCGGCCGTCGCGCCGCACCCACAAGCGTCAACGTCGGGTCCCCTAGCAGCACAGTATAGAGGGGAACTCACACCGTTCTACGGGGCGCATACAGATTGGCTGGCCTTCAAGGCAGCCTACGAAGAATCTGCGGGGTATCTAACGCCGTCGCAGAACATAGAAAGGCTCCGGAGAGCCTTACGAGGGGAGGCTAGGTCAGCAATGAAGAGCCTCCTAATAGCAAACACGCCGGCCGAAGAGATCATGCACGAGTTGGAGCTCACCTTCGGTCGACCGAACAACATAGCAGAAGTCGAAATAGCAAAGCTGCGGAGTCTTCCACCACCGAAGGACACACCGGGGGAGTTCTGCAGATTCGCCACAGCCGTCAAGAATAGCATCGTGTCATTGAAGACGTTGAAGAAGATCAACTTCCTATACAACCCGGAAGTGGCGAAGTTATTAATAGAAAAACTACCGCCGAACATTCGACATAGGTGGTATGTTTACTGCCAGCAGCAAGCCCACGAAGACGTACCGGATTTAGTACAGTACTACAACTTCGTGAAGATAGAAGCTGAAATTTATAGCGTAAGCGCCGAACCCATGAAGATAGCAAGCATGGACGACAAACCGAAGCCGTCGGAAAGTCGTCGTGTTCAAATCCGTCCGCAGCGAACACATACAGCGAGCAAGACGGACAGCCCACCCCGCCACAAGCCAACGTGTCCCGTGTGCAAATCAAATTCGCACACGGCGGCGCAACAGTGTGAAAAATTCAAGAAAGAAAATAGCTACGGGCGTTGGGAAATAGCGAAGGCGCAACGTCTGTGTTTCCGATGCCTACAATATCGAACACAGACACATAACTGCAAGACTAAGACTTGCGGAATAGATGACTGCCCACGTATGCATCACAAATTGTTGCACTACAGGGCAACGAGCGAGACACAGAAGACAGAGACAGCAACAGTATCGACAGGCGTCTCGCTCACACGTTCACCGCGCAGTTATCTCAAAATACTGCCGGTGAAAATAGTCGGACCTCGGGCCAGCATCGACACTTTCGCCCTCCTCGACGATGGATCTACCGTCACCCTCATAGATGAGGAAATAGCCACAAGAGTCGGCGCGGAGGGGCCGACAGAACCACTGAAAATAGAAGCACTGGCCGGCGCAACGGTTCGAACAAATAGTTCGAGACGCGTAACTCTAACGTTATGCGGACCAGAAGAGGAGTATGAGATCTCCGCCAGGACAATGAAGGGACTCAAACTCGCCAAACAACAAATAGAAGAAAAGGATATCCGACGATGTCAACACCTGGCTGGCATCAAGAAGATACTGTGTTACCACGACGCCACACCAACGATCCTCATCGGCCAAGACAATTGGGAACTGTTACTGGCCATAGAAGTTCGCCGAGGATCTTCGTCACAACCAGTCGCATCGAAAACTCCGCTCGGATGGGTGCTGCATGGAGCGTCCACTCGCAGTCTCGGCCATCAAGTCCACCATGTATATCATATACGTGAGGGGGCCGAGGATAGAATAGAAGAGGAATTGAGAAGATATTTCTCTATAGAATCACTAGGCGTGCTGCCAAGAAAGACACGCGCCGACCCTCAAGAGCGAGCACTACAGATACTACAGAAGAAGTCTCGCGCTCTGCCAGATGGGGGATATAGTACATCGCTACTGTGGAAAACAGATAAAGTCGAGTTGCCGAACAACTACGATGCGGCGCTCAACAGGCTGTACAGCACAGAGAAGAAAATAGATAGGAATCCACAGCTGAAAGAAGAATACGAGCGACAAATAGCGCTCCTAATAGAAAAAGGCTACGCAGAAGAAGCCGCCACCACCCCATCGGACGCCCGCACCTGGTATCTTCCGCACTTTCCCGTGCTTCATCCAGCTAAGCCGGGGAAAGTTCGTCCAGTCTTCGATGCAGCCGCTCGCGCCAGGGGGACGTCACTCAACGATCATCTGCTGACCGGTCCGGACTTGCTTCAATCGTTACCAGGGGTGTTAATGCGATTCAGACAACATCCAATAGCCGTCGCCGCAGATATAGAAGAAATGTTTCTACGAATAGAAATCAACGAGGAAGATAGAGATGTCCTGCGGTTCCTGTGGCGACAACACCGGCGGGAGGGACCACCCCGCGAATATAGAATGAAGGCAGTGATCTTCGGCGCCGCCTGCTCACCGTGCATCGCTTTGTACATCAAGAACCACAACGCAGAACAACACAAGGAACAATATCCAAGAGCAGCCGACGCAATTATCCATAACCACTATATGGATGATTACCTTCAAAGTTTCCAAACGGAGGAAGAAGCTATGAAAATCACCCATGAAGTTGACACCGTACATAGGAAAGCAAAATTCCATTTAAGGAAGTGGACATCGAACAGCCCACAACTACAAGAAAAATACAACAGCACAAGAATAGAAGATAGGACCGTCTCCATAGATAGAGCCGACAAAGAAGAGAAAATATTAGGCCTCACATGGAGGCCCGCCACGGACACATTGGGCTTCAACTTAAATATGGCCCGAATTCCGCAAGAGATAGTCAACGGAAGTCGCACACCGACGAAGAGAGAAGCCCTCCGGACGGTCATGTCTCTCTTCGACCCACTAGGATTAGCATCACCCGTCACCGTGCAAGCGAAAGGCATTTTACAAGAAACATGGCGAATCGGCATCGGTTGGGACGAGAAATTGCCTGAGAAGTTAGCCGAAGACTGGACGAAGTGGACACAGCACTTAGTCAATTTACGCCATATCAACGTGCCACGATGTCACCCGGAGCTGAGCAGCGCGTCATCCAGGGAACTGCACACATTCGTAGACGCAAGCGAGAACGCCTACGCCGCCGCCGTGTATTGGAGAGTGCAAGACAAGGACGGCAACATTCACGTGACACTCGCCATAGCCAAGGCGCGAGTTTCACCTCTGAAGATAGTATCTATACCAAGACTCGAGTTGCAAGCCGCTGTCCTGGGTTGCCGGTTAGCACGTACGGCTACAGAAGAATACCAGATTAAACCGGACCGTCGATACTTCTGGAGCGATTCAAGAACAGTATTAGCGTGGTTAAGGGCTGGTCCACGCACATTCAAACCATTCGTGGCGCATAGAGTCGCGGAAATAGAAGAAGAAACGAAAGCGAACGAATGGAAATGGGTACCTACGCGTCACAACGTGGCCGATGACGCAACTCGAGGAGTGCCCACGGATTTCGACACGGAACATCGATGGTTCACCGGACCCCAGTTCCTGTACAGGCCGCGGGAAGAGTGGCCCGGGCAGGATGAGTCTGGTGGCAGGGCAACAGACACCGGAGAAGAACGCACGCACATGGTATACACAGGCGATAGCAACACAATAGACAGCGGCGTACTCCCTGACATCACACGCTTCACGTCATGGCTGCGACTACTACGAGCCACAGCACGCGTGTTGCAGTTCATCGACCGGTTACGCGAAGCGGTCGAAAATAGAAAAAACACCGCCTCACAAAACGCTGTACATTATAGGCGCACAGCGCGCAATATAGAGAAGGACCCGGCGTGGAATAAGAAGACAGCTCGCAAAATAGTACGGACAGCGCCGAGGTTCGACAATAGTGAAGAAAGAAATTTCATCAAATTAACTGCGGAATATATACAGCGCGCGGAACAATTGTGGATACGGGCCGCGCAACAAGAATCGTTCAAGAACGAAATAGAAACACTCCGCGGTAAAGGGACAGTCGATAACAATAGCCGACTGAAACCACTAGCGGTGATCGAAGAAGACGGTTATATCAAGTTGAAATCAAGAATAGCAGCAGTCGTCGATGTTACAGACAGCATGAAGAAACCGATAGTCCTGGATGGGAATCATCGATATACCCAGTTGTACCTGGACTGGGTGCATAGAACGCATCACCACGCCGGAGTCGAGTTGGTGATGAACGAAGCTCGACAGCATTATTGGATACTTCGAGCGAGACCGACAATCCGCAGCATCGTCAAGCGATGTCAACTGTGCCGACTACGACGCGCAACAGCATCGATCCCGCCCACCGGAGACCATCCGGTCAGCCGACTCGCCCATCACCAGAGGCCGTTCACATACACAGGCGTGGACTTCTTCGGGCCTCTTAGTGTCACCGTGGGGCGACAACACCACAAACGCTACGTCGCGTTGTTCACATGCTTGACAACGCGAGCAGTACATTTAGAGTTAACCACCTCATTGTCTACAGACTCCGCAATATCCGCACTCAGGCGGATGATGGCCCGACGAGGGAAGCCAACCGAGATCTGGTCCGACAATGGGACCAACTTCCACGGCGCAGACGCAGAGCTACGTCGCGCCGCCATAGAAGCAAGTCGCGAAGACGCGGCTAATCATCGTATACGCTGGCGGTTCATCAGCCCCAGCGCACCATTCATGGGCGGAGCGTGGGAACGTCTCGTCCGCTCCGTGAAAACAGCATTAGCCGCCACACTGCATGAGCGGCACCCTTCGGAAGAAACATTAGTTACACTGTTGTGTGAGGCGGAATATACCGTGAATAGCCGTCCGCTCACACATGTGTCAACTGAACCGGACGACGAGGAAGCCCTCACGCCTAACCACTTTCTACTGGGAGGATCGGGCAAAGTGCAAACTCCGGGAAGCTTTGAAGACACCGATATCGATAGCCGGAGTCACTGGAAGAGAGCGCAGCGGCTAGCAGACCACTTCTGGAGCCGATGGCTCCGGGAGTACCTACCGGAACTTCAACACCGGCGGGAGCCCCGCGGCACGGGGCAACCTCTGCGCATCGGAGACTTAGTCCTGATCGTCGACTCCAATCTCCCGCGCAACACATGGCCGCGCGGGAGAGTAATAGCAGTGTTTCCCGGCCCAGACGGCGTCATCCGAGTGGCCGACATCCAGACCAAGAATGGCGTGCTGAGGAGGCCAACCAAACGACTCGTGGTCCTGCCAACGGGAGTTGCTGATAGTGAAGAGCGGGCTCCGGAACCAGACAAGGCTCCTGCAGCGCCCTCGACGACCGCTGCAGCGGCGGGAGAATAATGTTCCGGACCACCGCTTAAAGATTATGTATAGTCATAGATTGTAGAAATTGTTCCGGACCACCGCTTAAAGATTATGTATAGTCATAGATTGTAGAAATAAGTCGATTAGATATAGCAAATTTATACATAGTACAATTGTTACATAGTAACACCTTAAGAATAATAGATTTGATAGGGATAAGTTTATAGAGATTTAAGTACTTTATGTTATTATTTACGAAAATGCTTGGATATATAGGATAAGATGACAAATAAATGATTATAATGGTTGTGGTTTCAATCCCCTAAAAATAAATAGGTCGGCAAATAGAAACAGAATAGAATATAGTATAAAAAATAGATCCCAAAATACATAGGGATCTTTTTATAGTATCATTTCATTTATAGATATGTAATAATAATTGTAATGTGCGTTGCGCGGCAGCATTCGTTCGACTGACGCGCGACCTCACTCTCCCGCGCTATATATATATGAGGGGGAAGGGGAGCGAGGTCATATAAAAGGCACGATCCGCGAAATCGCGAATTATTCCTAAACCGCACGTCACGCAGCGCACACATCATAATAAAAATGTAAATTAAAGATGATATTGTCGTTTGATGCACAAATTGTAAGCATAAATTATAAGATTGTTAAAATATAATAAAAATTGTATAAAGGGGTGAGGAGAATAGGGCGGCCAAGGGTCCGCTGGCTAGTAGCAAAAAATCGTATATAAGTAGCGTCCAAAAGCGCTACAATTCATAGCGAATCTGACCTCAGAATAGCGAAATTGATCTCTGAATAGCGAAATAGATCTCAGAATAGCGAATCTGACCTCGATTAGCGAATAGCGAACTCGACTTCTGAATAGAGAAATCAACCACTGAAGAAATTCTCCTCGCCTCTGCATTCTGAACCACAAGAACCGTTTTCTCATTTACTGCCCGTCCATCATCGCCATCGTCAAGCATAGTCGTCACAACCCTTTTCACGCATCGTGTCATCGCATCGTGTCACCGTCGCATCAGCATCGTGTAAACGTCCTTCTCAGGACGAATCATCGTGGTGCCTATAAAGAGGCACCTGGTCCTTCACCCGCAACGCGCCCGCGGCGTTGATTGAGGCCCTTCAGGTAGGGAGTGCTTTGAAAAGGGCACTCTCTCACCTCGAGGAGGATAGATTGACGTCCGGGCGTACCAGCGACTCGGTGCCTGCCGACGCGCCTTCCGACTCCCGGGGGCAGCGGCCAGCACAAACAGTTAAGATATCGTGTCAAAAGAATTCTGATTTCTTTTCTTTCGGTAATTTCAGGCAAAAATGACGGAAGATAAAATTTCTATAAATAAAGCCATATCTGTTTTGGAACTAATTAAATTATGGCTATTTAATAGCAATGATTCTTGTATCATTAATTTAGGTATTCGATGTAATGGTACGTTATTTCAATATTTTACATATAATAATAAGCCAGGATAATTAACGCCATCCAGTCCGAAAATAATTACAGCTTGTTCTATTTGTTAAAATGGATCGTGATAGAGAACGATATGATGATGGTCAGCAACAAACTAATATGTAATGGGTCATGCTGTTAAAAAAATTAATTTAACTCTACTGTTATTAAATCATCGATAGAGTATCTAAACATAGCTTTTGTAAATACATACTTAATGTACATAGAAATTGCTCAGACCGATACAAAACATTTACACTCATAATTTTTAAATCTTTCGGGAAATCGGTCCCACGATTACCGAGAGTAAGGCAGTGTGTTAAACCGCTAAACTAACGAGGCTGCCGAGTTATACATATTTTTAGAATGTAGATGTCAAGGTTATCCCAACCCGATAAAGAACGGTATGTCTTATGTAATTTTAAATTTAAAAAATATTTAATCATATAGGATATTTTAGTCACTTATAGAAGTCAAGGTTTTTGTATTCATTTTTTTTATTACCGTACCATGACATTAATTAATATTATATATCTCTGTAACACAGTAGAATATTAGGAGACAAAATTAACTTTCGTTAATCTAACCTGCTTCTATTGTATTATTTGAGGGTAAGGTGGTAACGATGCTTTCTATATTCCGGAGTTAAATATGTATAAGATGTTTGTAGCAGATATGGTCATATAGGCTAATATTAATATATTGCATGTTTACAGGTTCATTTGGTTTAACATTTAGTGGTGCATTTTCACAACCTGCTCACTTTGTAAATGGAGAATGGACTCCAGCATCTAATTACATATTACCCAAAGATCCGCAAATGAACATAAAATATTTACAGCAAATGGCCGAAATTGTGATGAAAATGAATAAAAATGAATTACCTAAACTTATTCCATATTTTCCATGCACTTGTAAGAAAAAATATTATAAGAAAAAAGGAGTTTGGTGATTTTTTTTCGATATATTACAATATTCGATAACTTTTAAATCGATACAATTTCATTCGATTCCTCCATTTCTGAACGTTCTCATAACATCAATGAACTACCTCTAGTACTGAACGAGAACGAGACGTCAAAGGTATATTTTCGTTCGTGTTTTGTGGAAGAATGTTATGACGTGCAACTGCTGTCTTTGTTTCAATAACAATCGCCTAGTTTTACGTTTTATTTAGGAATATCACTAAGAATGTGATACATTGCTTTCTTAATGCAGAAATACACTAGTATTACGATATGAATTTTTCCAAAGCATGATTGTGCCAATAGCAGTTGTTAGCATAGTTAGGTGTTCATATTGGTTAAGTTGTGTGAATGTTGTGCCAATAATGAGATAGTGTAGTGTTGTGATGTGGTTGTGGGACATGTGGGGCGTCCTGTGGGCCATGGAGGCCGTGGCGCTGCTGGTGGCGGTGGTGGCGTCACCCCTGGAGCCTACGCCACCGTATCCGCAAGGTGAGAGGAGAAGAACCTTCCCACCTACGTCGCTTACTAACATTGCATGAACCAAGCATGCCTTTTTTATTACTTTTAAGTATTATTTTCTTTTTATTATAAACAATTCTAATTACAAACTTATTTTATATATGTTGTTTATTTTCTTTCATTTACTTCTTAGTAGGCAAATGTTATTGTTATGTTAAAATTATAATTTTAAACAGGTTACAGTAATATGTAAATAAATTTAAAAGTTAATAGAATTACTTAACACCTAAAATATTTGTTATTTTATTTCATTTTGTACATAAATAATTTGAGATTCTGTAATAGACAAGAATTTGCTGAAGATCAAATTTTCAATTTATTTGCAAGTGTATGCACTATTATTATATTTGGCTATTATTTCATGATTTTTCATAGTTTTGTGTAGTGTTTAATGTATTTTCTCCTAATTATTGGTAATATTTTAAATTATTGTTCTTGTTTAGGTAGTACTTTAAAAGAGAAGTACAAAAAAATTTAGAGAGAATGTTAAAAAGAAGAACATTGCTTATACTTAAATACAACATTAATTAAATGAATATCTTGCAAATATTAAGTTGATCTGTGGATAAATTTTTCAATAAGTATCGTAACATCATGTCCTCAAATTACACAGGAGTAATTTTTAACTGTCCAAAGTTTGTTATGATTAAAGTATGATGTGATGTAATAATAGACGAATTCTGAGAGTTTGTGATGTTTTATTTAATGTTTTTAATATTACTTAATCTTGAATGAGTAATTTTTAATGAATTCGGTATTCAAATACATTATATTAACACAGGACACTTTTATATTAATACTAATTCATATATACAGTTAAGTACATACAATATTTTACTAAACTTTTAGCTGATGTACTGAAATTACCAATATGCAATAACAGAGAGTGGCGAAGATGTAGTATCTATTATGTTACAAAATATGGAAACCAAAACATAATTTAATATTTATCCAACAGTTTAGTTACTTAGTCATGTAATTTATTTTTGACCTATTACCTAGTACAGCCTGAAGTTTAATTTCAGAATGAGTTAAATTTACTTAATATATTAAAGATATATATATATATATATATACATCTTTAACATATTGAAAATTCTGTGCAACTTCCATTGCACTTTGGTATTCTAAATAGGTATAGAATATTGGACTTTACTCAATAAATACTCTTCAATTATTTTAATTTATTGAATTTAGACATTCAATAAATTAAAATAAATGAAGAACATTTTATAAGGACCAGAAGAGAATATTATTCTTGTATGAAATACTCATTATATATACATATAGTGAATAGTTCAGTGTTGATTATTTACATTTGGTGAATATAGTGAGAGAAACCTAAAACTTAAAATTTTTGTTTTGCCTTCAAAAGTAATTTAAATGCTTCTGGGTACTAGGAATATAATAAATAATACTAGGAATATATAAATGTCATCTTAGTCTTGAGTGTGAGGTGTGTTGGTTTTTAAGAAAGCTTATTTGAGCAAATTTTCACTTTTATGTCAGTGGAGTTCAATCTTGTCATATTAAATAGCTGAAAATATAATATTAATAAAACCATATATGTTATTAGAGAAATATAAACTCATTTATTGGAACTAATTGAATGAAAAAACCAGTAAAGAACAATTTAACATAAATTCTCATATTAAATTCTATTTCTGTCTGTGTATTGTACTGCAAAATTTCTATTGCAGTAATTGTCAACAGCCTCATTATTGTATGTTGTGTGGTTTCCTACATGGATGCTATTATTAAACATCTGGTTTCTTCTGAGAGAGTACTCTTTCACAGATTATGATAGATATAGGTAAATTCAATATGACAGTAACATATTTAAATCTTATATAACTTTTTTAAAAACTTATGATGTGTGTAAACTTAAACTTTCTCATCTATTACTGGGCACTGTGACATCAAATATTAGGTTCTTAAGATATCTCAAATTAGTGTAGTAAGAGTGCGGGCCCGTTTAATGACGGGCGATCGCCTTATTCCGGCCGAAGGTCGTCGCAAATCCCCACAAATTGCTCTGAGAGACGATAATCTGGCAGCTATTGGAGGGTTGCGGCCGTGGGGGGTACCCTTCCGAATATCTAGTCCGCGCATTAGTTTCTGTTACGGCGGATTGCTCTCGTTCGCTTTAAATCGATTTAGGCGCGTATTCTCGGATTTATTTTAATTTTTCTATTGATAGTGTTAGTATTACATTTTTAATTTGCGTGACAACAGATATTCAAAGTAAACTATTTTTTTAACAGTAAGAATGAAATAGTAAATCACTATTTCGGTTAGATAAGAAATGTAGATTTTACCAGAGGTAGACTTTGCAAAAAGTCGTCTGCGTGTGTATGCAATCTCACCTATTTCAACCTGCAAATAACTTGCTTTGTAAGTTATGCTCCGTTGTAGGGCGGAAGATGGCAGTGATATTACAACGTAAACGCCATGATATCCTAACCCTTGGAATGGCAACGCATCAGTCGTATCACGGGCGTCTCATTATAATGTGTTGTCCGTGGTGCTGTTCATGGATATAAGGTTACCACTCACCATTAGTTGAGCTGTTGTCATTCCTATTAGATAAAAAAGTATTACGAAAAACATTTATTAATACCACAGATAATATAATATTACATATTAATACTTATGTATACCTAATCTATACATATAAATAAAATTGGAGTGTCTGTTTGTAATATGAAAATAACAGTTTTTTTACTACATGCATATGAATATAAATACGGTACATACACCAAACAAACATTTTTTTAAATTTTTGTCTGTCTGTTTGTTCCGGCTAATCTCTGAAATGGCTGAACCGATTTTGACGGGACCTTTTTTGGCAGGTAGCTGAAGAAATAAGGAGTAACTTAGGCTACTTTTATTTTAGATAAATTCTTTTATTTTAGAAAAACAAAGTTTAATTCCACGCGGACGAAGTCGCGGGAACAGGTGGTATTCAAATAAAGACGAAACCGAAACCGAACCGTAGGTCGCAACTATGATATGTCCAAACAAATCCAAATGGATATTAACCTTAACGATGCGTCCGTACCCCATCTATGGTTAGTTACTGATTCTTCTATATCCGGCAATTTCTGGGTTTGACGTAGCATACGGGTAGACTAACAGCTTTGCGTTTACCCGTGAATAAAGAGGCTCTATAGTACATTTATTTGTAACCATAGAGCCTCTATTTACATATACATATACATATGTTATATATTTTATATGATTATGAACAACATCTATCTTAATTCTCAACGTGATGAAAGATTAAGTTCGGAAATTGGAGTACAGTTTAGACACAAAAATATGCAAACATCTATACATATAAATAAAATTAGATAGTCTGTTTGTACCTGAGTAACCGTTTTTGTCTGTCTGTCTGTCGGTCTGTTTGTTACGGTTAATCTCTGAAATGGCATGACCTATTATGACGGGATTTTTATTGGCAGGTAGCTGACGTAATAAGAATTAACTTAGGCTACTTTTATTTTAGAAAAAATAAAGTTAAATTCCACGCGGACAAAATCGCGGGAACAGCTAGTTACATATAAATCTTTATTACTCAGATTTACACAATGACATTGGTACAGACGGACAATATTCTATATTACACAAAATAATTTAACTTAATAGTGTTTCAATTAGAAATTTGTATAGCCACGAGTTGCAGACAGTAAAAAGAAGTGAGGGTCGGCAGACGGACAATATTCTACATTACACAAAATAATTTAACTTAATAGTGTTTCAATTAGAAATTTGTATAGCCACGAGTTGCAGACAGCAAAAAGAAGTGAGGGTCGGCATTCCCATAAAAATTATTCATGTTCTCGTCCCATTTTCTCGCGCCTCAGGACTTTTAAGACACGTGTTTCTGTGGCGCGAGTTAACTAATGAATGTTGTATAAGCGGGTCGGTCGGTCACACGTTCGTGGCTAGCTGGTTGTACTCTGGTAGTTTGTAATTAATCTCTTTGTACATCAGTGGACCGGGATTAAAGTGTAGGTAACGTTATCAACGAGGCAATGTTTGAATAAATGAAAGGTTTATGTAGATATAATTTTTAATTATAGCAGTAGTGTTTTATGCATTTAAGTTTCTCAAAATCCTTGATTTTTAGGGCAAAATGTGTTACAACTATCAAAAGAAATTCTATTGATAAAAAGTTATGCATTTTAGTTCACCATTAAAAGGGACACAATAATTTTATTGACACAATAAAGAATTTCCTACACAATTGGCTAAAGCCCAAAATTACAATTCTGTTTAATGAAAAAAATACAGTCAAATTAATAAATTCTTCCATGCTAAAGTTGGTTAATAAAGTACATAGAGGTCTCGACCAAAGTAAAAGTTCCAACAACAAGCTATTGCAGATATATTGCGTCAAATGTTTCTGAATTGTGATGTGGCTTACGCTCGCCATTCTCCGAAGGAAATAAACATTAGTTGCATAACAAGCGGTCGTCTCGGCATCCGTCTAACGGGACTGTGGCCAGTTGCGATCAGGGGGGTTAAAAAACCACTTTAAATGAATCCTATTAGGATTAATTTTATTTGACCCCTTGTGAATGTACTTATTATGCCTGCATTACAATTAATATATTGCCTCTAGAAAAGTATTAAACCTAATGGATTTTTTAGGTAAGTAGACTTTGGCATTTCTAAATAGAAGTGCCAAATAAAAATTTGCATATACCTATGTAAATTGCGTTTAATTTCAAGGACAAGTTATGGCAGTTCTCTGGAATGGCAACACATAAGGGGTACATCGAACATAAAAATACCCATAATCAAAAGGATGATTTGATATGTCCGTTGTACTGTTCATGTATTATAGGCGACGGTTACCACCTACTATCAGTAAGATAGTATCTGTGCTAGACACAAAAATAACAGGTATATAAAAAAATAGGAGACCTGTAATCTCCTAAACGACACTTTGTGCCATACAAGCGCATAATCCTCATGCTATCGATGACTACTATGGTTTATATTGGATATTTGCGTTGAATCAATAATTTCATTGATCCTTTGTTGATAAAATCCCACGATACTTCCTAGTTTCATAATTGGTTATCACGAACTAGCAATGTTCATAGGCCGTCTGTTGATAGGACGCGTCGTGCGGTCATGACCGAGCAGCGCCATACCGTAGCAGATCCGTGGAATACAATGTCGCTGATTGAAGTAATGATGGCAAAACTTTTAAAATTGCAAAGGTAATTGTAATGAAATGAACTTCAAACTGGTATTTATTATTACGTCAGAGCATATTCTTTAATCGAGACACTGCAAAACAAAATATTCTAGACATAAATTATAAATTTTGGTCTAGTGCCTTTATTATTATTTTTTTATAACACAGGGAACAAACGAGCATGCGGCTCACCTGATGGTAAGTGATTACCGCCGCCCATGAGCACCCGCAACACCAGGGGAATTGCAAGTACGTTGTCGGCCTTTTAAAAAGGAATAAGCTCTTTTCTTGAAGGTTTCAATATCGTATCGGTTCGGAAATACCATTGCTGATTGGTGATTCCACATTGTGGAATTACCTTCCAGCAATGGTATTTATTATGTATCGTTGTTACTAATTCTTTTTTAAACAGATTAAAATCTATAATTTTGCAATTATGTACCGACTATAAAAGTTG